TTAGAACGGAAACATCTTTATGTACGTGTATATCTTTGATCATCTTACATAAACAGAATGAAAAGAAAATAATTTTTGCCTGGACGACACTTTTCTGCTTGAGATTTCTTAAGAGTTCTTGAAGTCTACATCGTAGAAAAACTATATATTACCCAGTCAGACAAATCTCTAAATAAAACGCGTTAAAAGGGTGTGGGTGTGGGTGTAGATTTTTCCTTCGCGCACACCCACACCCTCTCCTAGATATTTATTCTTGGATTATTTTAACAAACAAACAAATTAAATATTTTTTTTATGAGCTTGTTCATGTATTGATTGTAGGGATGTAACAATACCATTTGGAGACACCNTATATATTACCCAGTCAGACAAATCTCTAAATAAAACGCGTTAAAAGGGTGTGGGTGTGGGTGTGGCTGCGGGTGTAGATTTTTCCTTCGCGCACACCCACACCCACACCCTCTCCTAGATATTTATTCTTGGATTATTTTAACAAACAAACAAATTAAATATTTTTTTTATGAGCTTGTTCATGTATTGATTGTAGGGATGTAACAATACCATTTGGAGACACCTAAAGGTGCCCAATTTTCATAATGAAGATCTACCAATACCAACCAATACTTTGTGTCACTTATAACCAACAAACTTAGCTCTACCTGGTAGAAGAATAAAAAATACCAATACCAACAGAGAATATCCCCAGTATTGGTAGATATTCATTATGAAAATTGGCCATCTTTAGGTGTCTCCAAATGGTACTGTTACATCCCTAATTGATTGATGAATTCAATGGTAATCGTCGTTTGTAAATGTTTGGTCTTCTCATGGAACAACTATTAAAAATCAAATTTGTCTATAGACGATGTATTGGAGAGTTGATCAAGATTTGATGAAATCCATGCTGAATAAAGTAATTTCAATCGATCTTCATTCAAATATAATATTCGACCTCGTCTAAAATAGATCATCATATATAAAACAGGTCGATCAAGTATCGGATATTTGAAAATAACCTAAAATGAATATCTTCTTCACCATATTTATCAAGATAGAGTGATGACCAATAATTGTAACGTTGTTTTCGTTGAATTAATGTTTCTGTAGAATGAATATTTATTGATAGATTTAAACCTTCATTACATGAAATTAAATGCTACAAGTAATCCAACAATTCCATTATTAGAAAACCTTTTACAAAAATAGATAGATGTCTTACTTCTTTGATAGAATGTATATGTTGATGACAACATTTTTTTTCAGTATCTTCTTTTGAATGAACAATTCCACAAATTAAACATAAAATAGGTTGGGTGATTGATTTTCGACAATAAGAACATTGAAGACCAATATATGGTTGAAGTAAATCTGCATAACATGTAGGCAGATGAATAAAACGTGGTGAATGAAATAAAGGTATTCCACGAGCAATATGCTAAAGATTTATAAGCATATGTCAACTAGGCATCTAGTACAGGGCACTTACACGAAGAAATTTCAAATGTTGATTATCGATTTGAAATATTTCATTTAACCAATTGGTAATAGATGATAATGAATCATTCCGAAACCAATAGGGTTCTCCATCCTTGTATACTTGTAATTCTTGAATTAAATTTTTCCATAATAAATCAAATGGAAATACGCAACCCGGCTTTGAAAAAAATGATTCTCGCTTATTATTTAAATTTATATGTAGACAAATTCTCGATCCCCAATTGGGACAAGTGTTTAAACTTACCGTCCACCATGTTATCGGCTGATAAAGATGATGTTGTATAAGAGCAGCAATTTTAATGAAATTTCCACATCTTTCACAAATCGATGCATTGATTGATTCAAGAGACCAAACTTTTGACTAGCGATAAAAATTCGAAATAAATTTTCTTCTTTATTATGAATAATACAGACATACGTTATCCGTATTTGAGTTATAATTAGCTTGTAATAATTTAGATGATACAATACTAAGATATTTTGTCATATTCTTCAAGTAGAAAATTTTTCGTTTTCATTTACTTTAATAAAAAAACAATTTAAGAAGAATTAAACCATACATTTTTCGATTTGTTCTTTTCAATTTGACTCCAACTTTCTTGTTCAGTTCTATTCATTTCACTAACAATAGTGAATAATGCCTGAATATAAACTAGATTAAATATAGCTTGTACTATGATTTGGTAAGATTCTAAGACAAAAACCAATTGATAAATTTCACAATCATGCATCTAAACTACCTTTTGCAACAGGATTCGATAGACTAAGCATGATTCGAAGAAGTAAAGCAACAGGATCGGAAAGGAATAATGGCACACTTGTGGTTTTATCAAGATCTATATTTTCTAATTTCATATCGTTTAAACTAGTAATTCGATGCCAAAGTGTACTAAGGGAATCATTCACTAGATATGGATATTGTAAACTACAGATATAAAACAATTCACCTATAAACGAAAACAATATTTTAAAATGAATTGATTAGTTGACACAGGAACATACGAAAACATGATTTTCGATTAAGTATTGTTGGAATCATATTTTTGGTATCTCGCATGAGTAAATCATTCTCTAGATTGAATCTTTACAATATCAAGAAATCATATAGGAACCGTTTCAAAACGAACTCACCTGAGTAATGAAACAATAAATAGTTCAAGAATATTATTATCTAGTTGTTTTTCACGTGTATTAATTATTCTTTGATTTTTATTAACCATCATATATATTTTCTGAATAAAATCTATGAACCATTCAGTGATTGAAGAAGAAGAAATCTTTAAAGGAGTAACATCCGCTTCAATGAGATTAGTAATAGAATCCATGAAATTTTCATTCAATTCAATCTGTTTAGTAATCAACGGAGTGTACAGAAATGCATTGGATGTTTGACGACACGCGGGGCATTTGAATTCATTATTTAGATTGAATTTTTTCTATGAACGAAATATATTTTCTTTTGATATAGTCCAAAAACAAAGAAAGTTTACAATATGAGATTTTATATATTGTTCATAACATAGTAGATGCATTGAGTGCCCGCAAGTATCAATCCTTAAGCCAGTTCTCCAACTGTTTGTAATAGATTTTGATACACTTTTCTAGGTTTTACATTTGGAATTCGAATAAAATGAAAATTTTTGATTACTTCAGAAAAAATCTGAAACATTGAACGTATTTTATCTTCATAAACTTGAGCACATGTCAAGTTATGTTTCTGATTGATTGGAGATAATTGTTCCTTATCATTGGTATAAAGATGACAGCAAGTTGAAAAATCCTTTAATGAAGATTCATCGGTACTGGAGTCATTCGTAGATAATGGAAGATAATTATCTGTAATTTCGTCGATTTCTCGAACGCCAAGAACTATTAAATGAGATCTGAAAACTTAATGAATTTTCATAAAGAAACTAATTACCACCAGTATCAATCAATCTGATGACTAGTCCTAGTGAATCTCGATCCTCTTTACTTTGACAAATGCAACATTCGACGTTATTATCATTTGTCAGTGAAAACATTTTCTCGTCTTCTTTATGTTCATCATTTGATGTTATTAGAAGTTTTTGTTGTTTTGTAGCTATATCTGCAGAAATCTTCGTGTGAATTGCGTTCGTTTTAGTTTTTCTACAAGTATACAATTGATTGATTTAGAATAGTTCTTCACAAATACAATAGCATTACTTGGTAATACGATCGACATTATTATTTGACTGACTTTGATCTAATTGACTGATAGTTTCATTTATTTGAACTCGACATTCATCACATAATTGTTCAAATTTAATCAGAAGACGACCAAGATAAATAGTACCATCGCCGACTCGTTGAGATCCTTTTTTCCTACGAGTTTTATCAAGTAGATCGCTCAATGAAATATTACTACTATTTAAATCATTGATATTTAATATGATTTTCGATAGAAGATGAACAAGCATTTGGACTAGCGACATATTGATGCATTTGGTTTCCGTTATATATTTAGATTTTGTTTGTATTGAAATTGTATTGAGATTTACTGATGGCTGATCAACTTGAAATATTTAAAAAACGTTATAATCTTTGTTTTTATACTAAACATACGGTGAGTATTTGTGCAACTATCTTCTTTATTTGATTCTTCTTTGCATACAGATTCGGTTGTGTCTAAAAATGAGTAGAAATATTTTTGAAGACCTGGTGGTGGTTATGAATATAAGTAACCGTTTTCAAAATCGACTACAACATGTTCAAAAGAGATATTTTCAATGACCGTATGAGCATTTATAAGTAAATTATCTTGATCATAGAACGTTTCATATTTTCCATCGACAATTCCTTCTATTTTATTTTTTTTCTATAGAAAAAAGGAACACGTATATGAGAGATTATTTTTTTGTAATCTTACTTTCTTTATGAATGCTCGAGTCTGATCGTTTTGTTCTTCTGTTAGATGATTATTGAGATGAGAATCAGATCGCTGTTATGCGAAAAACCAAAAAAATAAAATAAAACTTATTCAGTAAAATAAAACATACAATAAATTGATTTTCAAGATCATAGGATGGCATCGAATAAAACCTTGAATAATTTTATAATTCTATGAAATTCGCCGATGATTAGCTTACATTTCATTAGAAATAGATGAATCTTTTGTCATAATAAGTTCATCCCATTTTTTTTGAATTTCTTGTTCATGTTCAGAAATTTGATTAAATTTAACTGTCTAAATATATCCACGATGAAATAGAGATAAATATCAGCTCCATATGAAACTTACGCGACGAGCATAACATTGTTCAACTTTATTTAAAAATTCCGTTTTATCAGTTACTCGACAAGAATTTATTTTCGAAGTACCGTTTGTTACATGACTTGGGTTTGATGTTTCTATGGTGGTACTACAGGATATAGAAGAGCGATTTCAAAAGATTTGAAAATAAATTCTTTACCAAACTTTCTCTAACGATACTGAATGGTTAATACCTAATATATTCTGACATTGTGGTGGTTCTGTAGCTGATGGTGCATAACCATTCAGATATTCACCATATTTGAATCGTCGAATTAGCTACACAAATTACAAACAAATTTAAAAAAAAAAAGAAGAGAATCTATTCACCGACATCATCAACAGCTAATTCACATAGATAAACTACTAACGATAGAATATCTTCATGAATCATTGTCTCATTCATCATCTAGAAATATTTGAAATCTTCTATGAATTTAATGAAGTCGACTACAATCATACCCAATGGCAGATAGAAAAGAAAACACCATGCAAATATCGACTTTGAAGAATACATCTTAGATTTGTTTGAAATTGATCTTTCGGTTTACGTAATCGATATGGTGGCCAGAGATTTGTCTCGTAGGAAAATGTATTCATCAATTTTACCCTAAAATCATCATGCCTCAATTCTTTTTATTTCTATTTTTAAATTCTACCATTGCGTATAACGTTGCATAGTTGTCTCAAATAGATCTCTTCGACTTATTCTTAATAGAACATGCAATGGATCAAATTCATCTTCCCACAAGAAATCTAAATAATAAATAGTTCGAAATGTAATTCTCAATTTCAAAAAAGAGAATCTCTTACCTTTTAATTTATATTGTCCTTGTTTTGGTTCATTTGTAATGTCAATCGTCGGTGGAATATATTCAGCAATCTAACCAATAGATTTCAATAGACGAAGAAAAAAAGCACATGTATTACATGTTCATACATCGTCGACAATTGATTGAATGTCATGTTTGGACGTGGAAAAGCCTTTGGGTTCAGCTATATGCTCATCCAAATAAGAATAATGACAATCTTGTATGGCTAATGCATTGATTAATTCAGTTCGACGATGTTCATAATCATTCAATTCTTACCAGCGAAAACAAAATATGTATACGAGGCAGAAAAATGAAATCACCAAATTACCAAGATGTGGCGAAAATGCAACAATCGAAGCTAAAACTATCAGACTACCTTCAAGTAGAGTGACATAGCTGGATTTTTCAAACGTTAGATTATTTTCTGTATTTTGAATGAGCCATTCAGGCACATAAAAACTAAGATTCAATTAGAAAGATAAATTTTCATACAAGTTTTATTCAAACCTTTTAAAAAACATTTCCATAAATACATTCATATTCACTAAAGTTGATATTAACTAAAATAAACGATTGATGATTATAGAAAACCTGTAATCATCTAGACAGAGGGCTTCATATTCCGATAGAAAAAAAAAATCTCGATTACAGATCCGATTGACAAAAACATCTCGGAATGTTTTTTAACTTGGATTAATACCTGTAATAGAAAAATATCTGCATCATTCATATATGAACAATTATTTCCACGTGTACTACAATACATATCTGATTGTATTTGCATTTCATAACTCTGTTGTGACCATATAGTATTTGTCATAATTTCATATTTGGCAACTTGAATCCTTAATGGAAATACGGCAAGATTAAGTAGAAACATTTCATTTTCTATGGGAAATAAATTTTTCAGTTCGCCATCTTGATAATTGAGTGAAACATAATTTAAAATCGAGATATAACGATGTAAAGGTATATGAAATGTTACTTGATTTTTTACAATCTAAAAATAATTAACTAAAACTATGGCATTGTTTACAATAGAAAATTATACATCTTTATATTGTTCAACACCAATTGATGATAACCATTGTCGAACTTCAAGAAACAAATAACTGACCAGGCTCGTTGTCATTTCCAGAAAATCCTATGTTGTCTCTGATCTTCTTTTTGAAACTAATGTAAACCTTTAAGACTTACAGGTTTCATCAAATGAGCAAGAAATATCCATAAAACCATCGCACAACATTCAGCTTCTATTGTAAAAGCAAATAGATAATTTGTATTCGATTGTAATAATAGTTCTGATTCAGTTCCGTGATGATTAACATGCATACCTTGAAACCAACTAATTATTTTTATCCATGTGATAAAAAATCTTTTCTCTGATAGAAATTCTCTGCTGGCATTTTCATGAGATAATACATTTATAAAATCGGATATAATAGGCCAATAGTGCATATTTTTTGAAAAATCTATTTCAAATACTACCAAATGATAATTTTCTTTTGGTTCTTGTAACTGACAATAAGTTAATATATTAGAAAATATGGAATACAGTGATGAAAGCATTAGCTCTATTAAATAATCTTTTTTTATCGCTTGAATTATTATATCCGTATTAGAAAACATTTGTACACTTATTTGTGCAATTCGAGAACTATTTATTCTGTCGCGAGAATTTCGACAATGTGCCAACCGATCAATTGACATTCCATAGATATTAAGAAATGATTGAATACATGAACGTTTGAAGTTGAAATCAGCTAATAGCATCAATACAAATTTTAATAATCGTTCGGGAATTTGATATTGTGTTAGCCAGAAAAATATCTCATCGAGAAGACATGTCGCTTTTCTAATATGAAAATATGCTAATGAATTATCCGTGCGTAAAGATGTCGGTATAAGTAAACTAGTTGCTGCATTTAACTGTTGTAAATAAACGTCGTATGCGATATTTGGAAGATCATTAAATGATGATTGAGTATTGAATTGTTCATAGAATTCACTATTTAGTAAACAATCAGTAAATATCGAACGAATAGATGAACCAGCATTATTTAAATCGTCAATTAAATCAAAGAGAGATGCCAATGAATTAAAGTCTACCATAGTTGAATACGGATTAGACTCTGAATAAATCAGAAGATTTCTCATGAGTATGACATACTGTTTAAAAACAAACTACTGACTAATAGGTGTTGCATGACTTCGTAAATATTGGATTAACCGAAGAATTAATCTTGGCAATACTATTTGTGCACATCGAATAAGGCTCTGTGGTATGGGCGCATTCGGAAGTCGATTAGGTCCATGATGTTTACAAAAACTATTTGGATTCATTACTGTAATATCGCCACAGTCGCATATACCACCGCCAATACTTTGAAACATACTTGCATCATGTTCTTGATGATTTCCATTGTGGAAACAATTCGGACATAAGCTAAAACATATTTTTCAATGAGATTTCTTTAGTTGTTTTTCGTTTTCGATCATCTACCTCATGCACGGATTCGTTGCACATGTGCGGCAACGATAACTAATAGTTGCATTAGTCCATACAAAACCACACAATGCACTATTATTATACTTGTGTACTATGCAACATAGAGAAAGGTTTATCTCTTGAGAATCGACCGCAAAAAAAACTTGCTTTCTTGACAAAAATCTTCAAATGATTGTCCACCACTTATATACGATTTGATTGTTGTTAAATGTTTTTCTATTGTTGTTGAAAACGATTGATGTGGATCGAAAAGAGTATCGAGAAATGCTTGAATACGTTTTTTATTATTTTCATCAAGACAATAATGATGAAAATGAATACCAGATGGTAATACTAACGGACTTTCCGCATGAATGTTTTTATATCTAGCAAAGAAAAATACTTCATTTAGAATTGGTTAAATTTAGATACATACACAGAGCTATGCATGAATAATATGGAAATGAATTATTGATAATCAAACAAAAGACGCGCGCTTTTTTAAAGTTATTCATTGGAAATATGAGCAGTGTTGGACTCTCTTGTATTTTGTTTTGTTTTCATAAGTCTGTATGAGAACTAGTTTAAAAAACAAACATCGAACATTTTCATGTTAGTCAGATTTTTGAATCCTTTACACTGCTCACTCGCAGATTTAAACCATAAAGCGTTCTGGTAAAATGCATCTGATACAGAAGTTCAACATTGTAGAAAAAAGGGGTTGGCGTAGTATTTTTTTCTCAGTATCTTGTAATTTTGATAGTTCCTGAACAAAATAAACGATGTGACGATTCTTTTCTCTAAGAGAAGAAGAAAATAGCAAACATTACTTGTTTGGTTTTGTATGTTGCATTATCTCAATATGTCTCGAGTCTACCTAGAATAATTGAACTTTGTCCATTGAAGAGCTATGACATAGTTGCGATGAGTTTTTAGTCTTTTTTTTCTTCGTAAGTTTTAAGTGATTTAATAACAGTCCTAGACTTGACAGTCGCTTTCTTATAATTCTGCATCACATCGAAACTGAATTATTTGAATGTAGTGAACTAATTTTCAACGCTGTTACATTTGCTTTTTTTTTCAAGCAGCTTAGAGCTTAATTTGATAATACTGAGACCATGTCGAATGAAAAGCTATCGAAAATTCTAGGAGAAAAAACGAAGGTGAGCCATGGCTACTTTTTTTCTGTTGTCTGATATAGGAAGTTTTATGTTTTAGTTTGATTAGCTAACCACCTAGTTGACTATTTCATTGATTTGTTTGCGTTACTTTATCTTACTGACAGAAACTGATGTTGAATAGTCGTTAACTCTTTATTGTTCCCTCATGTTCGGTCATAGTTAATATGCATGCCTACTTCACGTGGTAGGTATGAGCGCAAATGAATTCAAATATTTATTCTTGTCATGATTTGTCACTTTAAAAAAGGAAGAACAAGTATAAACGTTATCTTTCAATTCTATTGTTGTTTGATTGTGATATCTGAGAGACTGAGAACTAAAAATATTTGCATTCAAGTTAATTAAAATTATTGACAGATGGACCGAATTCGTCGGAAAATGCTATCCAGTTATTGCTGCTTTCATTATCTAATATAGCAAAAACGACTTTGCGCAAGGATCCACACCGGTACTCTTGCTTTTCTAAACATATTCTCCAAAGCTTTGCTTCGACGTATGGATTGTGACGAAATGCCCCACATCCACTAGCACCAGTAACTAACGTGTGTACTTGTTTTGCCAAACACGTTTTAAGTACGCCTTCAATGTCGAGCATACATCTTCTCTCCAACTCTTCTTGATTTTTCACACTATTGATTCCTATCAATGAATAGAAATAGTTACGTTCAGAATATGGACAAAATACGGGTATGTATGGACGAAAATCAGCGAAAGCTGTGGCAATCATGGAGCAATCGACATGAAATGGCCCTGTCACGAACTTTGTCATTGACCAGTAATTTCCACCTGGCGGTATATGCATTCCCATCTTATAATATACCCATCTTCCTCGTATCCATGATTTTAATCCGGTGTCAACGAATTGACCCATCGTGCCCAGCAATACAGCTCCGTCACAGTTAGTTGCAACTTCTTCTTCCTGCGATCCACCATAATCAACACTATAAGAACCACAAACATTGTGACTAGCGGCGAAATTGACCCACGCAATCAATTTCGGCTCATTTCCCATACTTTGCCATAATGCTTGAACTGTCTCTTGTGTACCTTGTCTGATAATTTTTATGTCTATATCTATATCATGATGATATTCTGATAATTCTGATACATGCTCACCACGTGGAGCAAACCAATCAAACAGTTGAAGAGAATGCAAGTGTTCGATCATCTCCAATTTCTTTTTCTTTCTATCATCAGCATTCTGTATGAACTTGCCATCCCATCCAATGTCATCGCGTGACCCGATTGCATAAACTCGGCTACGAAGAACTCTACGATCGGCGTGACTGTTGGACCGGCTCAATTTACGCCACTCTGATTGTTCCATATGATTTGTAAGATTCACGGCAAAATTCTGAAATTCTCGGCCGTGTATGTCAAAAAAGCGTGATCCATATTTTCTTGTATGCCATAACTTTTTAAACTGATCGAATACAGCACTAATCTCTTCTTTGGCATCAGTTTTCCGTAAACAATTATTCCATTCACTAAATATGCGTTTTTGATCGTCAGTTTCTTGAAAACGCAGGTAAACTTGATTCAAATCGTCTTCTTCACTGATATCACGATGAATCTGTTTTGCGATCATAGTTCCGCAAGGAAATAGATCTGTGCAATCGACACGTATACGTGGAACAGTTGATGAGATCATTGTCTATGAGAAAATTAGTTGCTTCAGTTTTCTCGGTCTACAATGACGACAATCTGAAAAACAAGCAAGTGTACTTGAGTTCAACGAGATTGGATAATTCTATCTATAAAATAAAATAAAATGTATTAGTCAGTCGATTGATTCTTTTGATATTATGTGAATATATGCTACACCGATGTGGATGAATCATACAGTATCACCTATTAGAAAAGAACAATAACGACTTTCTATTGATTATGGGTAATATTCATGTAGGTGACGAAATTCATTGATTGACGTTTAAGTTTTTCTTATTAGCTGGTACCATCTACGAATCAGTGTAAAATGCAGAAAAGAATATTATTACTGAGTTTTTTATGTTTGCTAAATTTTTATCGTAACAAGCGTTTTGCAATGATCTGAAAACTCTTGGGTAAATAGCCGAAACATACAAGATTCCACTAATCTCATTCATATTTATGTACATAAATCTAGATGTCGTTATGATCAGCTAAGATTTGACATTTACTATAAAATTATATTATTATTCTATTAATTTCTAAACTTGAAAAGATTCACGATCAAGTATGCTTCAATGTACTCTAAAGAAAAAGTTCAAAGTAATCATAACAAACACTATAGAATTTAAAAGCTGATAACTAACTATGACTAGTCTAAAAAAATGCTAGTCGATCATTTTTCAATAGCATACTTTATTCGCAATAGTAAAAAAAATTGAAAATGTAACTTGTAAAGTAGCTTTGTTTTTATTTAGAGAATAACATTAATGAATAAAAATGAAAATCGTTACGTTAAACATAGTAAATATATTATTTAGGATGTGATGTCAACTGTTTTGATTTCCCTATAAAAAAAATTAACTGTTTTTTCTCCGTCTGTTAACTAAATTATTTGTTGTATATTAAATGTAATCAGATGGTTTATATCATCGTTTTCTTGCTTTCATCATCTGATGATCGTTGCTCCCTAGAAAGGATGCTCGTTTCATAAAAAAAACGGGTTTGAATATTTGAATATACGAATAGTTGAATAATTCAATAGATAAAAAAATGCTTGAATACTGGAAGTGATTTTTAATAATTCAATTCAACCGTACTAATATAGTCACGAGTGTATTTCCAATCCACTGCTGAAATACACCCGATTCCGTGGAGACTTTCAGTAAAAGTTCGCTTATTTTGCGAAAATAGGCTTGCCATTTATATGCTTGCTGATAGCTCGGTATTACTATAATGATAATATTTTTTCTTCCTTGTACTGCTAGATGTGGCAATTAGCAAGAAAGAAAAATAAGAAGGACACAGAAACCAAGATATTTGTGGGCACATTGAGAAAAAGATAACTATAAACAAGGAAATAGAACGGACAAAAAGAAATAATCTGGTCGTCTCAAACATTTCTATACTGAATCAATTCATATATACAACAGTAGAAGTCGTACTATTTTATTACGATGATGACTCGTACTTTCCTTCGGTTATTCTTGTTGGGAAATGTTTTGGTTTTGGCAGCCGGTTTTCTATTTTCGAAAAAGCTTCAAGCACCCGTTGTCTATGAGATGAAACAAAAGTTACTTACAATTGGCACTTCTTCATACGCAATCAAAAACAAAGCAGGCACGCCGGTCTACAAGGTTTGTCTCTGTGTATTATTCGCCGTAACTCTGTTTAATACCGTTTTTAACATCTTTTCAATAGGTCGGATTCAAAACAATTGGTCTCGGCAAACATTTACAGTTGACCGATGCAAATACAGGCAAAGAATATTATGCGAGTAAGTGAAAGAGACTTATTCCTTGTATTTTTCTCCATGACTCTACATTCAAAATATTTTTAATTTCTAGTCAAACACGTTCTCAACCCGCTCGGACTCGCCAAATATGAAATTCGTCAAAACGATCATGTTATTGCTGACGTCAAGTTAGTTCATTGTTTTAAAGATTTCTTTGACCCAATCAGCCTTTGTAAAAGTTCGATTTATTTCAGATTGAATCTGAGTTTGGATCATCTATTCAGTAGATCAATACGCTCTACTGCGATTTACATCTGATAGTTACAGATTATGAAATGCAAATATATATATATATATATACACATATATCGGTTAGTGTAATCGAAAGAGTATCATATTTGTCGAACTTGATATCCGAATAGATGTTATATTATTCGTATGTGGATAAGAGTGGAGTTTTCGAATCTTCATTATTTATGACCAATCAAGAAGAATATACAAACTGAGAAGCTGTCAACACACGAGAGACATATTCAAGGAGAATAATAAGAGATTACTGCGCCCTGCTCAAACTAGACAATTTAGCGTAGCTTTATATGAAAAGTCGACAGATATCTAGAGAATATTATATCACATGAGTAAAGAAACAACAGCTAATATTATAACTGTAAAGGAATATTAATATAGTAAAGAAAAGAAAAAGCAAAGAAATAACGATAGAAAGGAGTAGATTGCATAGTAGCGAAGGCAGAAGTGTAGCTATATGAAAAGCAGAAACCATAAAAACTTGTTCTTCCGAAAATTAGATTGGTGTTCGCACTTATCTATGAATAAAACTAGGGTGCTTATCATTTACATATTCGTATTCATCGACAACAGATTTCAATAAAATGAAACTTGAATTAAAATATTATGCAGAATAAATAGATACCAACCAATGAAAATATTACTTGTGTCATGTTTTTTCATCGCGTTTACTATTACTTTAGACGTAAAGTGAAATGGACTGGACTTGGCACCAAATTCTCGGTTACATCAAAATTAGGCACGTTCAAAATCTCAGGAAACTTTCGTGCACAAGATTTCAAGATAAAGAAAGATGGTCAATTGGTTGCAACAGTTTCAAAGAAGTTCTTCTCCTTTCATGACAAGTACGGTGTCAAAATTGAACGAGATCAAGATGCGCCATTTATTCTGTGCTTAGTCGTCGTACTGGATGAAGTTACTCATGATTAGTTGAAGAATAGAAAAGCTATCATCACGAACATGAACTAATTAAAATCATGAATGCTTTCTCTTATGCTTTTTGTCACTCATATACGTATATGCCATATAAAAAATCTCATTCATTTAAACGAAAATTTTGCTTCAACTTAGATGAATATTTCTGCTAGAGTGCGGATCGATTAGCATGTTGATTTCCGAAGAAATCCGATGTCTTATAAAGTTTACTAGAAATCAGTAGAAGCAAGCACACACCGTGTTCATTTTATTTGAGATAAAAGAAGAAATAGAACCACAAAATTAGTAACGTATAATGAAAAGAAGAAGCGTAGTAAGAAAAATGAATCCTGTCAAATACAGCCGATCAGCGCTGTTGCACAAATCTGTGTTGCAGCAGCAAATAGTTCCCTTAAAGTCACCAACTTTTTCGCTCTCGCACTTGTTCGTTGTGCATTTGTATGTTGCTTTTTCCGTGGCTATTGTACTCCCAGCACCTCGCGCTACTCCGTGCTCACCACTTATTTCCACTTTGGCTTTCTAAAAATTATATACCATATAACCAACGATGATTTTAAAGATAATCTGTGAAGTCTTACCCAACACCACGCAAGGGACGATGAATTGATTGGCACACCACTATTGTCTTTTTTAAAAGGATCATTACAGTTCTCTGTGTTACGACAAGAGTAGCATTGTAAAGCCGCCGTACTACGTACACCTATGTTAAAATATTTCAGCAGTTACAAAAAATATACATATACATGTGTATGCTACAATTTACCAATCAATAGGATAATAATCGTGAAGGCTGAAAGCTCATGTACGTATATGCATGTTATCGAAATCTCGTCCGCGATAAGAATACACGCTTTATAGGAAACACAATGCCATTTTATACTGGTCAATATTAAAACGTCAACATTTCGATTATTTCACCCACACCAAATATTTTCACTTTCATATAGTGTTTTTCTCTTCCCACGAAGTTTTATCAAGCTCATATATCAGAAAACATTTTCAGTATATTGTGAATCATACTTTACATGAAACGATGTTTTATTCATCGCGATGAAGGCGTAAGGCAGTATGAATTTATTTTATTGATATTTACTTTCAACATTGTATTACGTTTACCATTTTTGATCTTATTGCAAACGTCCTTGGCAACCGGTTCATTGCAGTTTTCGTTTTTTTTTGAATATCAATAGTGACAGCAGCGACCACGCTCAGTATTTTAAATGCTGATATTGAAGTTGTTCATCTTAGGTTGCACCAAGAAAACAAAAAAAAAATTCAACTATGAATGCAAAAAGGGTGCACGTTTTTCAATGGATTCTCATTTGAGTCAGTCTAATCGTAACGAATAAAAATTAGTCAAAGAGAACCAGTAGATATGAAGATCCATGGGATCCATTTTTTTCTTCCTGTCCGGGCACTATATTCATTAAAAATGACTAGTTTTGCATAAACTATTTTCATGCAAAATTCAATGATTCACTGCATCACTAGAATATTTTCTTGTGTAAACACAAATAACGTCATTTGTATGAGAACAATTGTTATCAGTTTTTTTACGAGATGATAAGGTTTTTTTCTACTCTCAAAAACACGAAAATATGGTCACACGTTGCCTATTTGGACTATTTGTTTTCGGATCAAATTCATCAGTTATTTATCGATTTTTAACGGATGATCTGTGTGACTATTTAAGGCAATGCTTTAAAACTCGAGGTTATAAACTTAATGACGATGTGAAAGACGAAGTAAGACTCATTGAATTTTTCCAACTATCAATATTTATATTTTACATAACACAAGATCAATAATAATAATAATAATAACAATAATGATGATGAATTTACACTATCAATTGATGATGCTATATCTCAACATCTGTCTGTATTGATTAGAGTTCTTGAACAAACATCATCACGTTATGACCCTATTCGTAGAATAACACTTCAGTCGGGTGTACAAGTGTTTTTTGATCAGGTACAATTCAAAACTTTATTTCTATCGTCGACGAAGATTTTATTTCTGAGCAAAACTAGATCGCAGATAATAACTTGATATGTATGGCTGACAAATCATTCGATACAATAGTTATACTTAAAGCAATTAATTTACTAAAAGCATTAATTAAATTTCATATTGGAGTTTTACCATTTATGTAAGTAGTTATTCGCTTTTTTTTATTTCGAATATTTTTATGTAATGGCATCTAGAAATTTCCACGCACATTGTATCATGTATAGGGCAGAATTAAATATTTCGTAGGGATATTCTAGTCATACCCATTGTCTGATATTAATTTATTTGAATACTTCATTTTTAGTTTTTAAATATCTCTTTCGATTTCAAGGAAAAATAAAATTCTTCAAAAAATTAGCTTCCATGAAGAACTTCTCATTCTTCTGCCTTTATCTAAGATCTGTCATACTTCATTTGACCAAGGAGAATATTCTAATATTTATACTAGACACTATAATGTTGCTGATCAATTAATAAATCGTATATCTGCTTCACTGCAATATTTCCTTAACAATGTAACAATGAATCAATCTATTCTGTTCGAGGTAGAGTCTCATTTAGTTTCGACTTCGAACTTTTCCAAAAACAAAAACTCATAGTAGAGTTGTGAATATCTTCATATGAATTCAATAATTCGCGAACAATGTCGTGACGTCTGTACGATGATTAGTAATGATGTTCAAAATTGGCTTAAAGTTCCACGAAAAATAATAATTATTACATGTGATGACAAAATCGTTCATATGCATTTGAGGTAAAGAAAATATTTTAATTAAATAATTTCTATGATTTATTTTTCCAGTGCTGAGCAGAGTCGGCCAAATAATGCTGATATTTTTCTTCTAGTACTAAACAACACTAGTCGATCGTTGCGAAGAGAATTTGAATCACAAAAAAACCTATCCAATGTAATGAATCATAGATTTAAAAGAAAAATTAGTACTCATCATTCTCACTCGAGCTTCCCAACAACTGCTGCTGATAGCATGAGCAACGGATCTGACATAGATCGAGTAAATCATCAGTTCCAAAAACTAGATTCAATATTGAATTGTTGCATATCAATAGGCTCAATCGTGTCCCAATTTTCAATTATCCCAATTGACGTCATCAAATGAAAAATATGAAAGAATTCATCGAAGTGAAGTCGTATTTCTAAGAACATCAAATAAAGTTATTGCACCCTTCACATTATTCACTATACCGTTAACAGATCATATTTCAGTTCTTGTACTTGTTGAGGTAAGTTTTATATTTCTACTTGAAAATTATTTTGACTCGAATGAGTCAACATGCAGAAGAAGTTTTTTACTATTTCGAAATCATATCCAGTAAAATGTCATGCAGTGCGATGTGGTGATGAATTGAATAGGGTGAATAAAGTTTCACCGATGTGATTTATAGAATAATAAACAAACAAAAAAGCAATTTGAAATAAGACAGAAAATTAGAATAGGCGAAATACAGAATATAATTAAATCGTGAAACTTTTTAAGAAAATGGAGCATTGGCTCGTAAACAAAATCGTGGCGTATATCTAACTGTTGTTTCAAATTTTAGTGGGAAAATAGTACAATCTGTTCAAATTTGTATGCACTTATTCGTCATTTGGATTCGTATACAACCCATGGCTTTTTTCCGTATAACAAATTAATTCCACAAGTTAAAACCGTTGAAAGTAGTGCAGCTGTTCGACGATATGTACATCGATTCGCGATTTTATAAAAACAAATAAAAACCAAACTTCGATTTCTTTCTGTTTCGTATAGTTTGAACATGTCGGTCATCCATCAACTATCTTAACTGATATATTAAATAAAGCATATGCATTGCATAGATCATCAACTAAAGCAAATGTCACTAATGATGAACGACATCGAAAGTAAAGAAACCTAAAAATGAAGAATTTAATTTCTAAAATTTTTGTATTGCTTTAGTGGTCTTCGTATTCTTCGTTATCTAACTGAAATGAGTCGCTTATCAACAGATGCATTTCGTGATTTATTTTTTGATTCAGATGAATATGCTCGTCGCAGTGGTATTGATACCGCTAATAAAGATTACGAATCCGATATACAAATGGATGGAATCGGTCCAACTGAAACTGAATTTCGTAAAAATGAATACGATACTTCGCCTATGACAAAAATTCTTCGAAAAAAAATTACCGCACGATTAGAAGATTGGTTCTCGTTTATGGAAGTTAAATCACAACGTAATATAACAATGAATTTGTTCGTAAAAACTGAAATTCCCTTTTTTGTTTTGTTTTTCTTTACAAAAAAAGTTCTACTTTAGTTGTCACAATGAATTTCCTGGTCTTGTTCATTTTGTTTTTGTGGATCGTTCACGTGGACTTATTTATACACCTGCACTTATTATTGACGATTATCAAACATTGACAAATAGTCATTCGAAAGATTTGGAATATTTTCTAGAAAAAAAAGTTTGAAATCTATCAAAAGAATTTCTCTTATTGTTCTTTATTTAGATATTAGCATTTGAACTGGAATGTCTTTCAGCACTTCAACATGGTTTTACATCGTATACAATGTCTGATGAACATTTTACTTATAATTATACATTACGTTTACAAGAGAGTAACGTATGTTCTTGCTAAAATAGATATGAGATTGCAAGAAAGAAGAGTTTTCAATCATATTTTAATCTCTACAGAAAACTAAACATCGTGATCAGTGGTGTGTGTGTTGATTGTATTCAAAAGATCACCTAGCATTATATTAATTCGGTTTATAACGAATTTTTGGATTTTCGAAACTTATCTACTACACTGTAATTGATTTGCTCATAGCAGACGTCTAGGATATATTTAGATCGGTTTATGATAATCTATAAAAGCTAGATTTAAACTTTTGCAATCACTCATAATTCAGCGTTCCATAGCATATTATAAAATAGCATAGAGATCATTAATAAAAAAATCTAGTATCTTCGATGAAACTATATCTTTTTTTACTAGGGTGCTTCAATGCGACTCTACAAGGCATTTGTACAATCACAACCGCCTGGTGTCGTACATTTTGATTTCTACAAGTAATAAAGATTATCTTCAAAGTATTTCAATGTTCGTTGTGTTTCTCTATTAGAGCATTAGTAGATGAATATTACCCATGGTTAGTTTATCAGTCGTCAGTTATATGTTTTGAATTAATAACTGTTCATCTACGTGTTGTACCACCCAGAGTTGTTCGTGAACAATGTGAACGTCTTTGGTCAAGACTATTGGAACCCGAAGAGTAGACTCAAACATTCTGCAATATGTTAAAAGGATTACTATTGAATGTGTAATGTTTTCGAAACAATAAGAAAAAAACGTTTATTCTATGCTTTTATGTTTTCTTTTTCATTAAATAATAAATTGACGCTTTTACTGGGCAAAAAAAGAAGCCAATAATGAATACGTCTTCGTTCATTATATTGATTATAGTGTTCATTATTTTTCTAAGTAAGTTTTTCGTAATCAAGAATCTTTTTAATTTTGTATGATATTCTGTTTTTGAAGATTTATCTTTCGAATAGGATATTCTATTTAATCTGCATTCTAAAAATATGATGAGATATTGTATGATAGAAATTCGCATCTCTAATTCAAAGATAGTATTCTATTTCAAATGATATTTTTACGTGTAAAACCATGAATTTCCTAAAATCTTTTTTTGTGGTATTCAAACAAAAGTTCAAAATAATTTAGTGTTAGTGATTCAAAAATTTCATTTGAAACCAATAGCATTCTGAAGAATCGTGACTCACACACATATCGCTATGAGTTGAAAGTTGAAATTTTCTATTTTCAACTGAATTCAAGTTTCACGTTTGACACTACTGATATTTTGAAAACACCAAATAAATCCAAATTGATTTAAATTATTTATAAAAAAATATTTTCATCAGTGTCAATCATTCTGATATTTTATTTGAAATATTTTTCATAGAAATTCAATTTGTTCAAACTATTTCTTGTTATACCTGCACTGCTGGTGATGATCCATTCAATGGTGATTCTCCTTATGTTACTCGACGTTTATCAACATGTTCTTATTGCTGTGTAAGAGATATTTGTTTTTGTGTGTGTTTATTATTATTGTCTTTATTAGAAATTAACTGCATTTATGGCCTATGCCCCAATGTATACTGTTAGAGAATGCGTTCGGTCATGTACTCCAACATACAGTGTATTCGATGGTTCGTCTATGGAAATAAATTGTTATTCATCATAACTATGTAACAGTGCAGTCGGATTATATTTTGCATACACGTGGAAAAATCTAGTTTTGTTTACAATGGTTCCAAGTCTTTATATGACGTTTCTGTTCACAGAATATAATAAAAAACATTTGCGCGTGCTATTCAATGAAAAATATTTAAAAAACGCTTCTTATAAAATTTAAAACGATAAATATTAAAAGTAAAAGACACGACGGGGTTGAAAATTTTATCGTTGAACTTCCATTACAAAGATTGGCAGCACAACAATTGCTTGTTACTGATCCTCCGCCAAATGTTTGAGAGGTTTCAATACAAGCTGCAACACATTTTCTAAGTACATAAATATAAGGAGCATATGCAATAGTAACTGTCATTTTCTAAAACGATGAAAAAATTAATTTTAGAAAATTAAAAAAATAAAACAATATCTATCCTTTGATATTCTCTTACATAGCATGCATTACATGATGATGTAGTAGAAACTGAACTACTAGTGGATAAGAATGGATCAGTGCAATTTGTGCATTCATAACAAGTAACAGTCGAGAATTGAGATGAAGCTCTTTCTAAAAATTTGAAATACAACTGAACTATAATCTTGAAAGGGATTTTTCACTGACCAGTGAAAATTAGAATTATCAGTAAGAAAATAGTAAAATGGCACCATTTTAAATTCAAATGGACCATAGCTGTTGTTACGAATTGAGTATTAAAGTAGGCAAAGCGAGCGAAAATGTTTGAATGTATGTTTGTATTTATGCAAGCGAGTGAGTGTCAATAGTGCAAGCATTTTATTCTCCAATAACAAGAAAAAATTCTAAAAGCTGCATTACTACTGCATCAATCGAAAACGTTGCTTTGCTCTTTGCCACCTACGCAATCAGTTGAGAGACGTTTGCTTTTTCTAATGTCGCAACTAAAAAGAAGAATAAATGTGTTGTTTAAAAAATTAAAATTTTTTGTTTTTTCGTCAAGAATTTTTACATAAGAATGTTTTTATTTTTAATCGATGGGGATAATCGTAATAAACATCGGTTTAGTTCTAGTGAAAATAATATTCGAAGTCTATATGTGTATATATATTTACTTCTAAAGTCAACAATTGGTTTGTCATGCGTATGGGATCTATTGTTTATCAATTTTATCGATGAATTCTTTGTACATATGCTATCAATCATCTTTATTGATAATTCATTGCTCAAATACTTTAATAAATAATTTGCAATTGGAAATAAATCAATTTCATTCGTTTTATTCTTCGAAAATATCTTAATACCGAGTACATTTTCATTGAATATCTAGAATAAATTTTTCAATCCGTAAGTATAAAAAAGTCGGCTGTGATAAATAAATTGATTCCTTCTGTTCATCTCCTCATACTATTTAGCAAAATTTATTAAGATTTTTCATATTCGATTCATTAGAAATGATAGAAATGATCTGTTGATATATTTTATTCGAAAATTTTGTTGCCTAATAATTTGTTGGACAACATTTTCCAATTAATTATATCGTATAATTGAAATAGATTTACACAAGTATTTCGTTTAATTATCACAAAAGAAAGATAAATTTTATTAATATCATACAGATTCATATCATAAAGAATAGACAAATATTGTGATCTTTCTTCTTTCTATTAAAAAAAATTCTTTTTCTCGTGTCATTAAACTGATCTGAATTGAAAGTTCAGTCTTAAATTTGCTCATTTACATTTTATTATTCATTAATATTAGACACTATTTCATTGTTGAACGACATGAATTTCATAATACATTTTTGTTAGATTTAAAAAAATAATTGATTATACTATAATGAATCTTTATCATTGTTACTCAGATCGTTCAATGTATTGATTTTACTGATTCTGTAAATTCTTTTTAATTTCTATCAAGTTTGATGTGAGAATCGTATGAAATGAATGGGTTTGTTGCGAATAAAATATATAATATAAAAAGAGTTCCTTCTATAATATCGACTGTGTTATATAATAATTAATTCTATTATCGGCGCCAGAAGTCAAGGCAGTCGGATTGTTTTTGAATAACTCATGATAGGAACAAGATAGAGACCTGAGATTTTCACCGTTTGAGAGCCAAAACCCAATATCATATTCGGAATCAGCATCAAAAACTAAGTCGACTTATACATGTTTCGAATCTTCTCACCCCTGCGGTCCCTCTCAGGGTAGGTCGAAAAGTGAACTCCAGTAAAACGCTGTTTTTGTTCATAATTCATTTTGCATTATGGTTTATAACAGCATCCTGCAAGCTTGGAACCTGCTTTCTAGGGGTCAAATGGCAATTTGATGGAATTCACTTTTCGGCCGACCCTGAGAGGGACCGCAGGGGTGAAAAGATTCGAAACATGCATAAGTCGATTTAGTTTTTATGCTGATTTCGAGTATGTAAGAAAATCAATAGACTTCTATAACGGTTTTCAAAAATTCAGTGTGGTTTCACAGAGATCCGCTGAAAAACCGATCGTCGAATTTTTTGTCAGAAAAAGTTTTGCTTATGGAAATATGATCTTGGGTTTTGGCTCTCAAACGGCGAAAATCGCAGGTATCTATTTTGTTCCTATCACGAGTTATTCAAAAAACATCCGACTACCTTGACTTCTGGCGCCGATAGTAGTCTTATTAATACTATGAACATACGGGGATTAATCAGTATAAATCTTAAGGACATACATTTTCTTGTCTGTTGGTAGCTAAGCAAAATATGTTGTGCAGTCGTACACAGTTATTCATATATTGGACGGTCAGTTTACTTATAAGCAACTTTTCATGAGAAGAAACATTTTACTATTCAAATAACTTCTTGTTATTTCAGTAATACCCTAACAATTTTTCTTTAAGGCAATTCGCGTATTTTCTGTGTAAAAGAATGTTTTAAATACGAATCATATTTTTTTAATTTATTGTTACAAAAAAAAATCACATTTTTTCACCACAATTATTTAGTCAACTACATTTTTAATTATGATACGATTCTCTTCCACAATCATATCATTTGAACCACCACCAATTCCAATACCACCACCGTAAGGCATGACACCAGCTGAAATATATACAGATGACTTTATGTGATTTGTGATTGAAATCAAACATACCTGGTCGATCTTTGATTTCAAAAACTTCTAAACATTCAATTATTTCACCAGAGACAATCTACTAAACAAAATGAATTGAATGAAAAATATACAAATTATTAATAGCATTAGAAGCAATAATTTATTTACCAAGTGTCATGATAAACTTTGTGGTATTGTCTTCTTTTGTCATGCTGAGTAACCCAGGAGGGTCATCCTGCCGTCTGAAAGGCCACCGGAACCGGCTATAAAACGACACAAAACGGCATTAATTTTCACCCTATTTCGCCGTAATCCGTCAGTTTGTTTTCCGAGCTGGCGGAAAACGGCGCCGTTTTTTAACGTTTTACATCGTTTTTATGCCGTTTCAGGCCGTTTTCTTTCACCTGGGAAGTCGGCTTTGTCGTGGATCACATTATTTTTTTCTTTCTTTTTTGGATGAAATATTCTAAAGATACGAAACATAAAATTATTAAATCAAGAGGCGAGAAAAAATAATTCTTACCTATTGTCATCAGGGGTGTGAGTTATGACGTCGCCGCCTGCAATAAATGAAGCAAAAAACAATAATATTCACATTATTCTATTATAGTAAAATGTTTACCTTGTATGTATCTATTGGGAACTAAATAATTAAAATAATTATTTCCATAGTCGAAGCCACATCGGCCTGTACATATTGAACGAAAATAAGCTGCAACAAGAGAAAAAATAACAGATGAATCTTTCTAAATATTATTGATGCATCATTGCTTCTTTTTATAATAATTCTTCGACAGCTGGACATAGAAATAACTTTATTAAAGTGCGCTTTTTTATATCTTAGGCATAATAAAAATTATTAAGATAAATTAATTTTCAATGAAAGAATTTAAAAAATCTAACATCCTTCATCTCCCTCAACCATTTATTCGCACTAGTCACTGACCTCGTAGTAGGACTATATTTCCTATATTTTTATAATCCCTCCTATAATGGACTATCTTTTAAGCTTTGTTCCTATATTCCTATATTTTTGAAAAAACTACTGCTTGTTTAGGAAAGTCATGTATTCTTTGAGAAAAGCATCATGTATTATATATACATTGTCAGCAGCGCTAAGCATATCATATAGATGCTAGCGACAATTTGCAGAGCTTATTCTTCATTAGATCATCAGAATGATAAAGTTATTCGGTCATCCAATCTATTCTTTATCAAAAGTGACCGAAGAATTAATAAAGATTCAAAAGAAACGAAAAGAAAAATTTGGTGAACAACAACAGAAACGACAAAAGACTACCATGAATTCATCAATTCTTGTCAACCAAAGCTAGTGTTGTATTTTTTTATTGATGTACATAAGTTGATTAGATAATTTGAGAGTATGTTACATATGATAGCATTGAAAAAAGATACACTTTGTGAGATGTAAATCAAGAAGATTTTGTTGGATCTTTATTCAATTTGATTTTGTTTATCTTTATATCAATATATTTATGTAAAACAGTTAAAAATGAACTGAACATAAATTAATCGTATTATTTCTTTCGAAAACTTTATCATTCATCATCTAATTATTTACCCTATTCGAATACAGTTGTTGCTTGGTTCATCGAATATATATATATATAGAAAACAGACTGTAATTTCCGATATCGCTGCAACTTGTGAAATTTATTAGGCTTAAAAAGCTATTTTAGCTAGAAACCATGGTCCTATATATTTCCGATATAGCTGAAGGAAATCCTATATAAATAATACCCTTGACTTCCTATATATTCCTATATTATCTCAAATCACCGCTACGAGGCCAGGCACTAGTCAAATATTGAGATCGCTAATGTTTGCAACAAAATTCTTAGTTCGAATATATTAACAGTATGGTTAGAACTATGATCAATGACGAAACATCACAACTAATGAAGCAGTTAATAACCAGCCTGCATCAAAATTCTGGATGGAATATAGTGTTATATTTCATGAGAAACTATTCTTTTAGATATCGCACATAATGAGATGTGATAAACTTCTCGTCACGTGGAATTCTCTTTAGTTTTCTAAAGAAAATGAATTATTTTCCCTTGAAACATAATTCGAAGTACTTTACATATACTGCAAGAGATGGGATCTATTATTTTATTACTGTTAATCTTTTATTTGAACACAATATCCATTATTTCTCGATTTTCTTGCACTTTTTGAATGGAAAATTTTTTCATAATTTTACTGTCATTTAAATAGTAAATCTCAACATATAATGAAGTTTTTCTATTTTATAATATGAAAGTAAAGCAATCGTTTCAATGCTTTATTATCAAGCAGCTCAATTTTCTTCTGAGCGATTGAATAAGAATTCATATTATCCTATTGATCTCCAAGAAAAATTTCTATTTATCTGAATTACTCTTTAGTTAACTCAGTTTTTATCATATGCGCTCTTATACAAAATAAAATTAATGTTAAGTGGCTGAAATTTATTTAAGATCTTAAATAAGCTCAGCTACATGTTTAACAATCCACAGATAAGAAACATTCGATTAATGAAATGGTTATATTCCTTTCGAATAAATACAAGATGCATAAAATAAAACAGACAACTCACAACATGTTAACGGTGCTTTGTAATCGTATATAACTAGAAGAAATGCTAAACAAAGTGCAGAAGTTATTTCAATGAATAAATGTGCATACCTTAACTTTTATCTTTTGAAATTTTGTAAAAATTGATCATGAAAAGAACAATTTTAATCTTTGAAAATTAGAAATAGGTATCGGTTAGAAGGTAATGTCAACTACTTAACATTAACAGCATTCAATTATTTCTATTATAGATGTGCATCCGAAGATACATATCATAGAATCGAAAATGAATAAGTAGTCATTAAAAAATTGTATTTTTATTAGATTACAGCCGGAAATTGGCTTATGAGCACTTTTACATTTGACTCGAATGATAATATTTGTTTAATATCTACTCTTGATGTTACTGCTATATTAAATACATGTTCATCTTGTCTTATCAGTCACTTCCCAGGTCGATCAACTTGGGTCGTACACGGCCGTTTGGTATCGTGCCATGAACGATCGGATATGGTCGGATACGGAAATATCCGACCACATTACGGTCGTTAGTAACCGTTTACGACACGATTAATTACGGCCGTGATACGGTGCATACCAAAACGTCGAGTTACGGCCATTTACGATGAGAAACGACAGGAAACGGCAGTATACGTTAACGCTTACGGCCGTATACAACCGTTTCTGGTAGCCGTACTACTTGACCTGGGTTGACATCAGTTTCTTCAAATTTTTCTGCTGCTAACCAATAAAAAATTTGTTATTCCGAAAAAATTGATAAAGGTGTTCTCAATTGTCTGCCATCAATCGAATCCAGTTAGGTTTATGATTAAAAATAGAAATGAGTCTTTTCAAACAAGCACAATCGTTCAGAATTTTCTCTCTGTCAAACCATATGGTAAACATCAGAGGTGTCCACAGGGTCAATTTTATTACCCTGCCCTGCCCTGCCAACCTATGTCTTCGAAATCGCTAAAATATTGCCAATTAATCGCGATTTATCGAAACGATAATCGTGCGCTGAATCGGCGATTTTTTCCCATAATTTTGGGCATGATTTGAGTCATTTAAACTCAATTTTATAAATATATTTTAATTTTTATTGTAATACTAAAACATGTACATGATTCCATTCTAAATAATTATTACAAAAAATAAGAAAACTCGTACAATACGTAAACATTTAATACAAAAGCAGAGTATAAAAAAATAGCGTTCATAGATACGGGCACGTATTCTGAGTAAATTGTTTTCACGATCATTGATTAAAAGGTCATGTCGGTAGATGAAGCTTACATCTAAATGTAAATATATAGAAGAAAGTCAATATTTTTTAGTTTGGCTTTGGTCAAGGATAGAGATTTTAATCAGAAACTAGATTCAAGAAAAAAATTTAATCTAAAAATTATTCGACGGAGAAATATATCTAAAATAGATTATACGTGATGAAAAAATGTTACAAATTTGAAATAAAGAAATGAATGTGAACATCAATTCGATTTCATTGTGATTTGAAATTATTCAATTCCGTGCAGATCACTCTAGTGGCACCCTGAATAAAAATATCCGGTTTTCAGCTTTCAGTTTCAACGAATACATTGAAAAAATCGGATGTATAAGGACATTTTATTCACGATTTGATAGATTTCAAACTTTTCGTAATTAATTGGTAATTTTAATTTTTCTTACCATGAGCGTAATAAAATCCTATATAATCATTGATTTCTTCCCTATATATGATTAATTGCGATTTTACGCCGATTATTTTGAAAATCGGCAAAATCACCACGATTTTCACGATATGGGAATTAAGAGAAATTGTTTTCATGTTTAAATGAAAGTTTAAGTAATTTTTTAATTTGAAAAATAATTCAACAAATGGATGAATGATTAACAAATAATAAATTAGCCCTAATTGAAGAGGTGTATATGATGAAGTTACACCATCACTGGCGGTTCACAATTAAAGATGTGCAGGGTCAGGGTATGCATTTGGTGAAGTGCAGTACAATATGATGCAAGTAAAAATCCAATAAATTAAAGTTGAGTCAGAAAAAAAAGAAATCACGAATTGACCCAATCATAAATACTGCTAAACCAAAGAAAATGAGAAAGGATGATTATTTACAAGAAGATGTAATGCTAGAATTTGCACTAACAAGCCAAGATGATTCAAGTGAAGATGAAATTGAACGTTATACTAAAGCAAAATTAGTCATTAGTAACGAAGAATTTGTATTACAATGGTGGAAGCAGCGGAGTATAAATTATCCGACGCTAGGTGTTTTAGCAAGATCATTACTAGGTATACCGGCTAGTTCATGCACAAGCGAAAGAATATTCAGTGCCACTGGAAGAATCCTCGAAGAGCGATGCCAACACTTAGGTGACGATATTGTAGACGATATCTTGTTTGTAAGCAATTTTAAAAAGATTTTATTGTAATGTTTTGTAGACTACTTGTAATGAAATAAATGAATAATTTATGGTATTTTAGTATTTCTTTCTTCAGTTCTAAAGAGCAAGGAATATAAAAGTTTTACAGGGTAGGGTAGGATAAGGGTAAACGAAAATTCCTTTATCACGATACAGGGTACGAGAAAACTTTAACTTGCACATCTCTATTCACGATAGATACATTCAACGAAGGGAGAATAGTGGCTTCATTTTCATCACCAGAAGAGGCAGATGATATATGAAAGTCAGCATTGTCGTTATCAACAACAGAAAATAAATTATTATGCATCCCAAAAATTTGTACAACTTCATACCATCGAAAATATTAGAACGTCCTTTTAGTTCAATTGCACATTGAATTAGTACAACACGAACAAGTCACATAGTTTACAAATCTTCTTTTTTTTGTAAGCAGACTATACCTATTAGCAGTTTTGTCATCATCAGATAGTTAATTCTTTAAAATAAAACTGGTAGCGCAATTCTTTCGGAATTAAAAATGTGAAACAGAATGTACCCAATACAATTGATGGCATGAAAATAACTATTTTTGCGCACTTGAAAATAACCATTGACCGATGCATCACTCTTGAAATATATCAATCACCTACCTCACTTGAACTATCGAAAGAATATTATTATTGTTGTATTTACTTTTCACAAGAGGCCTTCATAAATGTCTCATACCATTAACATAAAATAGGGCAGGACAGGACAAGTATTAACTTGTTAATATTGATGAAAAGTGGCTTGGAAAATAAATAATGAAAGAATTCCTCTGAAGTGAATAAACACAACGATCAGTGTGTTGAAAATAAGAGTCATGTACATTTCGATCGTGTCATAATTATGAAATTCTCAGTCATCGTCAAAATATTAATGCCTACAGTCACAATAATACGATTTCAAAAGGAGAATGATGATAATTTTTATCAATATTCTCTTCGATCTAATAGACTTACTGAACAAACTGGACGCATTCGATGCTTATTTTGTAAATTAATTGTTTTTTGTTTGAAATACATTTTATTCTTAGGACTTTAAAATTAAAATTAAAGTAGCCATTTTTCTATTAAAAATACTTGTAAAATAGCTTTCAAATATTATTATTTGCTATTTACAACGAAGTATCAAATGTCCAAAGAAAAGATATCAAATATCTTTTTTTTCTTTGAAAGAAAAAGTGACATGTGCAAACTAGTGTCAATTTTATCATTAACTATTCACTTAGTATTAATAGGTTACATATTTAATTCTCATTGATATGGCAACATGAGTTTTAATAAATTAAGACAGAGATTTCCTATCGCTTATCTCCGTGAATATCCATCTGGTTTTCAATAATGGCCTGATTAAATATAATAAATAATGAAATAATCATTCATCTCTGTTGAAATCATCAACTACATGCCATTATATAATCTTGTCGTTAGGAACATTATTTACTTATATCTTTTTCCATATCCCTATTTAATTATAGAAATTATGTCACAGTTATTTATTTTTGAAACAAAAATAACCCGATTGTGAAGATTCATCTATTGTTAACTCACAATTACCAATGTAAATATTCAAAGATTCTGATTCTGATAAGTCACCGGATCATTCGTACTGTAAACAAGAACAAGCAATTCAGACCATCGAAAAATCAATTTGAAAACAAAATATAGATGTATTGTGTGTAGGGTTAAAAACATTTATTTTCACATATATTCAAAACAAAACTTCGCTTGAGTTTGAAACAAATGTTTTCTTTTTAATATTCACTCCTATACATATTTCTATTAAAGTGACAAACAAAAACGAACACACACACACACACACAGAGAAATATTTAATGACTAAAATTTCCGAAAAGAAAATGTCAAATAATATTAATACCGTCCAGTCGTTTATTAAAGAAAGTAAATATTTCATGAAATGTTGGTCTTTCACCATATGGACGCCAACATTCCAGCATTAAATCAACAAGTTCTTTACTTAAATATTCAGGTTTTGATAATTGTAAACTGCCTGATGATCTCATTACGTTAGTTCCCATTAATCTCAATCGTTGATAGACTTCTTCATTAGTCAATAAAGCATATGGTAATGTTAAACAATTTGTCATTACTTCCCAAAGTGTTATACCAAATGACCAAACATCGGATTGGCAACTGAATTCATTCTAAAAGAAGAAAAAAGGGATACAAAGAAATTTTTAATTATCAATTTATTACAGGTAAAATTGTTTCTGGTGCCATCCAACGAACTGGTAAACGACAATTATTAATGTTAAAATAATGGGATTGAAATTGCATTGAAACAATAGCTGAATTCATTAATTTTATTTCATAATTTGGATAGATTAAACAATTTCTTGCAGATACGTCTCGATGAACAATATTTTCTGATTCAAGATAACGCAGAGCGTTAGATAGTTGTGTTATAATAAGAAGACGAATATTTAATCTAAACAAGAAATTATTGAGTTTTGTTTAAAATTGACATGAAAGACTTACGAAATTGTTGGTTCATCCTGTTGAAGGCGTTGTTTTGTTGATAAAAATGTATGAAGATCTCCTAAATTACTATGCTCAACAAGAGCATAATTTTGTTTAATTGAATAACCAAAAAATTGTACTAAATTTGGATGACTTAAACGATTCATTAACTCATGTTCTTGATTAAATAATTCTCTAAAGAATATATTTACTTATAGAATTTTAATTATCACATATTAATACTTACTTTTGAATAGAATCATTGGTAATAAGCGCTTTAATCAGTATCGGCTTAAGTATATCGTATGGTTGACGAAGATATATATAACCACGAACAATCTATTTAGATTATTAAATATGCATATAATTGTATAGAAAAAATACAAGTTGACCTCAAAGAAATGCAGATGTTCATCATATATACTAGACGATATGAATAGAAGATCATAGTAATCTGTTCAAACACTCATCAACATCTTGCTGTTCTTATGATACTCTATCAAAAAAAATTCGATTCACATAGCTGTACGTAAATATCTCGATCTAGGAAAAAACCAATTAAATAAGCGTCAGTTGACAGATCGATGTGAGAAGATAAAACTATGAAAATCAAATTATACAAGCAGTAAGATATATTTATTTAGTCTTAAACAGATTACACAGTATCATATGTTACATCTTTCATTCGTTTCATCGAGTAAAAGCGAAAAAAACATCGTGCTCTAGAGCATCTTGTACTCGTTCTTACCGTTCCAAAACATCCTTCAATTGTTGAATAACGTTCTTCCATAACTAATTGCTCATCAGGAATATATGAAATGGTTGGTTTATTATTTGAATCTTTTGCTGTTGATAACGATTGATACGTACTATTACCACATGGACCTTGAATACTTTTTAGTGGATTTTCGATACAGATCGTTTCATCAAACGTTATTGGATTAGTATAAACGTCAATGGAAGCATATGGATTCGATGTCTAATATAGAATTTAAAAAAATATATATTATTAATTCTCAATCCAATTATGAAATGAAAGTACTCTCTGGCTTAGATTCTCATGAATCCGTAGTTCCCCTATCTCTCATATAGATAGTTTGTGTACGCAAAAAGTGAGTACACTCTAGATTCGGTCAGTGTGTCCGTCCGTCCGTCCGTTAACACGATAACTCTTGAAAGTCTCATCCAATTGTCATGAAATTTTGTACGTAGAATGATCTCATCAATATCTCAGTCGAGTGCGAAGATGAATTGGCCAGACCATCCCTGAGGGTACAGGGATTTTTTTCTCAGAATTATTCACAACATATATAAATCGATTTAGTTTTTGCAGTACACACAACAATCGGATGCGAATCCGATGTCTCCGCATTTATTTTACATTTACACTTACCACATTCAATGCATCTTGCGTAACAGCTGTTAGATAAGGATTAAGAACTGATTGATATACTGTTGACATTGTTGCTGGACTTGCTGTGCTAATAGTACCAAAATCGGAACCACTTGTAGCTCTATCACATTTTGGCGAGGTTCCTGTTGAAATGATTAAATGTCGACGCATATCATTGTTCGAAGTAGAACATGTCGAGTTACCATCTACTTTAAAATATTAAAATAAAATAAAGAATATGATCGAAAACGCAAGCAATAATTTACAAGGGGTATTGTCATTCGAATGAATATAGCAACAATTTATTCGAGATTTTGCTGGAAATTTGATTGATATTGGTTGATAACTTGAATCGAATTTTAAATGAGCAGTCATTCTAGAGAATTCAAATATATAAGAATAAAACTAAAACACAATATATAATAATATTTACTGGCGAATTTTTTTCTGATTTCGAGTCGACTGAATCCATTGAAGATAAAAAATAACTAATAAAACAATTAAAAGTAATAGTAGACTTGATGCGAATAACAACCAATGCCAATATTGAATAATACTTAGTCCATTATCTAGATAAATAATAGATGGTTAAGTGAATTATAGAATAGAAAAACAATTTTTCTTTACTAATTAACGGTGGTAAATAATTTGTTGTTGCTGTTGTTATTGTTGTTGCTGTTGTTAACAATGGAATACTCTTAATTATTGGTTTCGATTCAAATAGAACTTCACTAATCAATATCCATTTGCTTCGATTATTAAATGTCAATGTTAATTTTAAACAATTAGTTACAATTCCACGATCAGAATTTAATGAAGCATCAACAAATCTTGCTTGAGGTTTAAGGTAATCTTCGGGTATGTTTAAGAACGTTTTACGAGTAATTTTGTCGTCACAATTTGCGATTAGTATTGAATTAAAAAGATGTACATCACGTTGAAATAAATTCGATGTATGCAAACGAATTGAAGTAAAATTTTGAATTTTATTAAATTGAAAAAAAAGATTTATATTCGATGTTGAAGTTGACTTTCGTCTCCAGCCTATCCAATCATAGCCAAGTTTGCCTATGCCTTGAACATTGTCTGCTAGACGATAATCATCACCAGCTAAAATTCCATCGGTCAACTGACCAAGACCATCTAAATCAAAGAACTCAGTCACAGATAATTGATAATAACATGAATCTATTCCTAATAGTGTCTAGGAAATTTTCCGGTTTTTGACATGAATTTTTTTCTCTTAGAGTTTATTGCGTGTCTAATTTCATTTTGCCTCCTTCCGTTCGAATAAAAAATAATCCAAATATGCAGAACATCGTAAAAAACAACGGATGTTATTCCGATTGTCAGTCAGAGAAGGATCTCTATCATAGAATCAACACGAATGATCAGTTTCTTTCGAGAAAATATTTCTTTTGTACCCATTCGAATTTCAAAAAAGCAAACTAAATTTACCTTTTAATGTTCCATTATCATTATGTCCGTCGTAGGTTTCATCAATGAATTCAACATCATAGCCACGTTTATCTCCTTGCGGAATTGAATATGAAATAGGACCGTCTAAAATAGTCTTAACTCTCTCAAAAGTTTCGATCCAAAAATAAATATTGTTCCTAACCTTCGTACGAACATCCGTAAAGTTCTAAACGCATACAAATATGTTTCGGTTGCAATGTAGTCACAATTGGTATAATTCGAATTTGTTTAGCAATTAATGATGGTAAAATATCTCGCATTGCTGGTATATGACTATTTGCATTTCCACTTAAAATCTATGAATAAGAAGAAAATGAAAACGAAACTAATGTGTTTGTTATGATTTCATTTGCATTTTCTCATCTGGAAAACACAGATTTAATGTTTTCACATTTGTGCTTGATTAATCAAGGTCATAAAAGTAATACTTCAACTTTTATGACAATGATTAATCATTGTCAGCGACAACAGAATATACGCATCATTAATAAAAAGTTTTTTCGATTCTCATTACTTATACGTACATATTGTCCGGCAAAATCTTTGTATTTAATCCATTTTTGTTGATTATCACGACGATATTCAATACGAAATGCATCTGCATATTCTTCATTCTTAAAAATAATAAAAATTAAACACGTAAAAAAAAATTTTCTCTTCTTATCACACCAGTTGTTGGCTAAATTTTCCTTGAAGTTCAATAAGTGTTATAACAGTTAAATTGACTAAATCAATTTCTACATATTCATATGTTGTTGTAGAAATTTTATTCAAAGGACACCATCCATAACGCTCACTTCGAATTCTAATTAAATACAAAACAATAAAAATAAAAGATTCAATTATTTCTAACCTTGCTTTTGATGCAGTTGAATTTATTCCAGCATGACTACTTGATGAAAAAGCTGAATCCAATATCTTTCCTGTTTCAATTCCCAGCGGAGATCGACAAGTTTCTTTAACATAAAGAAAAAAAAAGAAATTTACTTTTTTTGTTCTTCCGTTAACTAATAATTATTGATTACCGAGATTAAATTGTTCAGTACTTGACAAGCTAAGTACTAATATAAATAAACAAATAGTGTTCATTGTCACCATGGTCATCTAATCTTGCCCATTACCTGAAATACATGAATAATGTGAGGATTAAAATGGAAAGGAGAAGACGACGACGACGACGACGAACAAGAAGAAAAAGAAAGGGAAATATAACACCGACAGATTGGGAAAACGACTGTTGTAATTAGAAATTGTATGTACATGATTAAATAGAGTAGAGGAAGCAATGTTTTTCTTTTCTCTCATCCGTTTAGTATGTGTATATCAACGACCTTGTTTTCTCTTTCTCTGATATCGGTTGATCGCGCGCAAATAGATTGAAAATCAGCGTGATGCTTTTTCTTCTATGTTTGCTCCTATAATCTCTTTTTCTTCTGTTGTTAGTTCTAATAGAACAAGCGGGCGAAACTGTTCATCAAACTAATTGGATTGGGTTTCAAAAAAGAACAAAAAAAAACGTAGAAGACCGATGCCCTAGGATACGTTAACAACAAAACAAATGGAATGAAAAGTATAAGTGTCAATCATTCAAACTAGCGGTTGTCGTCTGAACGAATATTTACATTTTACGATATAAAATATGAAGTATTCAAGCGCGAGTCTTTTCGTTGTATGAGATAATGAGTTACTCTTGCGAAAGAAAAAGATCGACAAAGGTTATCGGTAATACCTTTGATGATCGGAAATAAGAACAGACTGTGACCGAAAGAAGAAGAAGAAACAACCTTTAAGACAGACCTATTGACATAGTTTCGATTCTATTTTCTTTTAATTTGATCGCTCGATTCAACCGGTTGATTTCGAATGAATTGAGCATGAGTATATAATATAGATCATATTTGTATATCCTATGACCGGAGAGTCTGTTCAGTGTTTCGCATGATTAAACTATGCGTATTACTACTACTACTATTATGACTAGCAATTTATGAGAAATGATATAAACGTCGATCTTATCCCGCTCTTATATCTCTTATATATATATATATATATAGGTATGAGCAATTTAATTGAATTAGCGATTATCGAACAGAGCGCGTATGTTGTGTCATTTTATCGGTTCTTTTTTTTGTTAGGTGGATTGGATGAGGTCAGTTTATGAGAAGGACACATCGCCTGTTGGCTCGATGTTTTAATGGATGACAGTAGGAATGCCAACTTCGACGTAGATCACACAAAACGTTTGACATTCGTATCTATATATTATAATTGAATACGGTAGAGATCACGATCAAGTGGACTCAGGTAATACACACGACGAGGTTAAATGAAAGATAAAATAAAATAATAAAGTGAACATATTTCTATCGAGACATAGATCAACTTTATTAAAATGAATGACAAAATATAAAAACATGCGATCTATACACCTATCATTTAGGTGTATTGATTGATATTAATCATGTTTTTATAATTCATCAATGAAAATAGACAATAGAACGAGAGAGAAGAAAAAAAACCATACACAGAACACGAAACTTACGATTCAATGTTAAATATACAGTTGGATACATACGGTTACTATTTTTTAGTCAAAGAAATAATAATAGAATGAAAGGTTGATTGTACACATAGTGTGAGAAATAAGGAAAAACGAACCTAATTTATACGATATCCCGTTTTGAGACTAAGAATTCTTTCATGCACATTTCTATAATGTTTTCCTAACATTTTTACTTTAGTTGCTTCGTACTGATTTTCTCCTATTCTATTATATATCGATATCTATATATATATATATGTGTGTGTGTGATAACCTCTCGTGCTCTTTTAATGCTAAACAGTAACTATATAAAAATCTTGCTGTTTCTATTGAGTGTTTGTATATACATATATGTCAAATCGATGGTTAACGGTACTTCAGGTGTATGTCTCATAATCGCTAAATAGACTGTGTCATTTTTGATTGACATATATTTTTTCTTGCCACAAGTATGTCTATTTCATTCCAGTTCGATAAACTACTGTTTAATAATCAAGAGATGTTACCACACCCGACTCTTGAAAAAAATTTACGGAAGCATATAAAACTAGTCGAATGGATGAATGAATGAATGAAGAAATAGTCTTAATACGGTTGGTACATGTACATATATGTATGTGTGCCATCTGCTGATGTGCATGCGTGCCGGTAAAGTTTGTACAAATAACAATTTCTAATCTCTTTCGATGGGAGCCATTTTGACGATTACAACAAAAAAAAAAGGAAGACGAGAGAGAGCGACAGAGAGAAGGAGAAAAGACTGTGCGAGTCCAATTTCAATTTAGCACGCAATCGTATGTACTCTAAAGACGAAGTAATCGACCATTGGTCAATAAAATCTGACACAGGAAATCGAGTTCGTTAGATAGATCTCGTTTCATTTTTTTCTATTAAATGAGCAATGATCATATTCATTAACAACTATAAATGTCAGACAGTTGTTTCCTTTAAGTAAAAAAAAAAGAAATATAGAATCAAGTTTTATTTTTGAACGTACTCGTCCGGCTACTTGTCAAACACTTACTTATTTGATCCGTTCAAAAAGTTGTAGTTAGTAAACGACAAGATTATGAAAGAGATTTAGGAGAAAGAAAAAAGAAAGATACAACATCCATGTTCTTCCAACCGCATAATGGATACAGCAACAGAGATGGCGGCTAGAGAGAGAGAGAGACAAAAAAAGCAAAACTCACTTTCCCTTTTCCTTTCTTCTCTTTACGCTTTTCTCTTGTCGTAACGGTGCATATAAATACAACATTATAATGATGCCTGTGTACGAGATATAATTAGAGACATGAAATTCCAGTGTAATGAAATGAAACAAACGAACGAACGGAAGAGAAGATCAGATATATGGAAATGCTCAGGTGTAAATAATAAGTTCGCTGCCTTGCTTGTTCTCACCAGTTCTTTTTTTCACAAACTAAATATAGGCACATATATAATAATTACGACATAAATACAAGCTAGATATTTGTGATTAAAAAAGAGAATGAAATGCCCCAGGCGGTCAACAACTTTCTTGATTAAGATAGAGAGACATAAAATGAAACTACTGTTAAAGACACCTCAATTTCTTTTTCCGGCTCAGCTATCTCATTGAAACAATATTTATACTATTACCTTGAATAGTCTACTTCATCGAATAATGTATCTCTTAAAATATCAAGACAGAAAAAGAGACCGACCGTTCTTTTATTTGTTAGTATGTTGAGATTCACTCATCATTTAACTAAACTGGCTCGACAGCCTTGAACTTCACTTAGTAAAGAAAAAAAACGGCACATATATACACAATTGAAATCGAGTGCTACTCAACATGACTCGCAATCGATGAAAAAAAAGAGTAGAAGATCATCATTATCATCATCATCATCATAATGTATACATATACGTCGATGTTAGTTTACATCACTTGGCCTTGAAAGACTACGCTAAAGTACAATATGGACACGCACTTGTGATTTGAGCACATGCAATGATTTTGTTTGAGTACAAACGATCGAGGGTATTCCACTCGAAATCAATGCCAAATATTGAAGAAGAAGAAAAAAATACATGAACGCATGGACATACGTCTTTTTTTTCCTCTAAAGATGACATACTTTTCAGGCTTTATCTTAATCTTTAACAATTACAAAGACTTTTTCTTTTCATGTTACTATGACAGATGTGAAAAGAAAATGAACTATTTATATTTACATCTATAAATGATAAACCATTCTATTCATAATAATCTATGTTTATTAATTTTACTGCCTGCTAATGATGCAGCAAGAATCTATTGTAATACAATTGAATCGTCTTCATTATGTCGAATACAAATGAATTCAGATTCTATTCAAAAAGGTTTAATCTATAGATCTATGAAACAGCAATCATCACCAATGAAAATGTACTGAAAAATTTTCATGTCGTTTTTTTTCTTTTTAATATAAATTCTGTTTAGAAATCAGAATATTGATTTAGTAAAATCTGAATATGATCTCGATTCGTCGATTTTAAAAAATTTAACAATTAAAAACGAAAATAATAATAATTCATCAAGAAATTTAATTAAACAACGTCGAGTTAAAATTAATAAGAAATTTCTTTCATCATCATCATCATCTCAAATAACGAATGCAAATATCCCACACACATTTAGTTTATGGTACAATCATAAGAAAAAGAATAGTGCCGAGGGACAAGATTAGATGGTCAAATGATGCAATAGGTATATAATATGAAATTTAATAAGAAGTTAACATATTCGTATGTTCAATTGATTGAAATTTTTTGTCTCGTTTATTACAAACATATGAAATAATAGTCGAAGAGTTGAATAAGAACAAAATATTTTCAGGGCAAAAAGAAAGTTACATCACCATTATTTCTTGTTGATGTTTTTTCAACTACAAGGTTTTGTTTTTATTTGAAGAAAAAAAAAGAAACTATTAAAATCTGATTTAAATAGAAAATTCATCTAGTGAATTATCTTGAGCTTTTTTCTTTGAAAGTTAATTAAATTAAATTATATCTTCTGTCGAGAAGTACTGTTGAATGGTGTTCTTTTTATATCTAAGATTCAAGTATTTCTGAATAAATATTTTTAGATCAAGATAACCTATTGTGCCATGTATTTATCAAGGTTTAAAAATAGTTTTTAATTAACTTCATTTAATTAAATTTTTAATATTTAAGCATGATTTAATCCGTAATGATGCTACTTAATCATTGTCTTGTTTATAAAATCTAAGATTTGATGAAATATTAAAGAGATTTTATAATCGGTAATGATAGTCAAGAAAATTGCTTTTTTTTCCTATCGGATTAATTTCATTAATGGATAGAATATGCAATCGAATATAAAAGATTAAATGACTGCTCATGATACGTAGCTAATTTATATAAAACAGATGTATTTTTAATTTCGTCTCCGTTGCCACAATCAATAGCACAAGTCTAACTAAACAACAATGAGTAATCTACAAAGAACAGGGTCTCCGAAAGGGCATAGCCCATGTTTTTCCTGCTGTAATTCTGCTTTGAATTATATTCAGGATGATAGACCAAACAATTCTCCACATCATACAAGGACTAGCAGCTCCTCATGACCTTCTTTAATCGAGATACATCAATCTATTAGAAGGCACCCAAGTTATGTGCTTATAAACGGAACATCATAGAGAGAGAGAGAGAGTTGAATGGCATTTCATTTATTTTCAAGAGAACTCTATATGCTAAACGCAGACGATGATGTCTTGGACTAATCAGATCTCCTCTCATTAAAATCTCAGTCATCTTTTCTTTTCTCATCCTTGACAGGTGTATACCTCAAGATTGGTTCATAGAACGTGACTTTCTTGTCTAAGAAACTGGTGCACACGAGCAAGAAGATTTTCACTAGGATTACATAAAAATTGTTTGTTTGCATGATGATCTTTCCATTTGAATTGGCAAATGCATAGTTATAAAACAATCTTTCATATTTCTTTAGTTTTTTTTCTTTTTAAACTTAACAATTAAGTGATATCCATTTAAACATAGTTTAACAAGCATCCCATTCTCCGACATCGATGATGCGAACAAAAAACACAGTAATATACTCATATAATCTCTTAATTAATATAAAAAAAATGGACTTTCAGTCAAGAACAGAAAGCCATGCATATGAATACAATACTTATTCTTTATGAATCTATCAAATAGTTGGTTATCATCCATGAGAACGAATAATAACCATTAAGTAGCACCGATAATCAATGACAAAAAGGAACAGAGAACTGATTGCATCATTTTCAAACGAGAAATAAACAATAACGAATAGAAAGAGAAGAAAAAAACATTTTATAATTAACCAAGACACAGATCACATTTTGCTTTTAAATCCTCTATGGTTTGTAGAACTCCAATCGTACGTTTTTCATCTTCGCTGATTGATACTGTTGATGTTGATGTCATTTGATCAAGTAATATTTGAGCCTCGATTATAGTTCGACGTGCATCATCAAATTTTCGACAATTGAATAGTGTTTGTGCATATTTTCGAAGTACATCAACAAGAAGTATTGTTGTCGATGAACATGATGTTGATAAATTCATTTTTAATATTGATATACACTTATTTAAATACATACACGTGTATTCGAATTGATTACGATCATTATATATTGAAGCAACTAAAACAAACAAGTGAAGTGGCGGTATTCATTTTTGATTTCGTTTACTTACTGTATTCATAAAGATTTACAGTATCTAAATTAATTTCTCGCAAGATTTGCTCATAGAGTCTTATCGAATCATTGACCAATTTTAAACTGTGATCCCATGATGAATGGTTTTGTTTGCCCGTTGAAAGACCTTGAGAAAATATACGTTTTGCTTCGAGTAATTTATCCGATGTTGCTGAATAGAAACGACTATGATCGTTTGTTTGTTGACTATCATGAACAATCAATGGCTGCGATTGAGATTGATCAGTTGAATTATTCATCGTTGTTGCTGTTGTTTTTGGATTGTGCAATTTACGTGTCGTAGATGTCTTCGTTTTGCGACATGAAAACAAAAAGAAAAATAGACAAATAAATGATATTATTAGAAACAATATCAATAATTTGTTATTAAACTTAGTGCAATATGTTTAACAATACGAAACATAAAATATTAGCAGGTGTATTCCTTTTTAAAGATTAACAAGTTTCAAATATCATGATAATCATATTAAATTTTTAGTGAGCTCTACATTAATATCCAAGAAGAAAAAATAAGATTATTACAAAACAAAAGCGAAGTGTTTAACTTCGGTTGGAATTAGTATTTTAGGAGCAAAAAAAGTTAACAGAACTCTTCAAACGACGGTGCAAGAAACCGTATCATAAAATCAATCTCGAAGAGAGTACGATTATACTTTTCTGTAGGATGCCAACGTTACATTTATTGCGTTCTGTGAGCGAGAAGACTGTACTGCTCAGTCGATGCGAAGAGAATGGAAGTTTATTATAAAGTGCTTTAGAAATGGACGCAAAAGAACTCTTGACTTAAGAAATGGACTAAAAGTATATATATGGATTAGTTCATACCATAAGGCTTCCTATGATTAAAGATTTCATATTATAAATAAAAAATGAGGAAACATCGGATTCGCATCCGATTGTTATGTGTACTGCAAAAACTGAGTTGATTTATATATGTTGCGAGTAATTCTAAGAAAAAATTTTCTTTTTGAAAAAATCCCTGTACCCCTCACCCCCGCCTCAGGAATGGTCTGGTCAATTCATCTTCGAACTCGACTGAGATATTGATGAGATCATTCTGCGTACAAAATTTCATGACAATTGGATGAGGCTATCAAGAGTTATCGTGTTAACGGCCGGACGGACACACAGACCGAATCTAAAGTGTACTCACTTTTTTTTGAGTACACAATATAATATGTACCGCTTAATTTCCCTCAGATCCCAATAAACGAGTACCATGATTCAGTCATAAAAATAATGAATACACATACTGAATTTATTTGTGTTCGAAAAAAAACTCTTCTATGTTAAAAGCAAAATTTCCATGTCCCGAAAAAACAAGGATTCAAATTAATTCTCACCATTTGCTATTGGTTCGACGTGAGGTTTTATAATTTCAACACATCCTTCACATTGGCATTTAAACTAAGAAAAAAATAAATAAAACGTAAAGAATAGAAATCAAAATTTCTCCTTACAAAATACTGTTCTAAGAGAACATTTTGTCTTTGTTCAATTGATGGCATAAGAGATTTTTGTGGACCGTAACAGTTTAAAATTTCTTCGCCTTGGCGTATTGGTTTCGCTGTATATACACGTAAATGTCCTTGATCGAATATACAACGAATATTTGGAACACATGAATGGTTCATTAATGCACAGGTCGGAAAAATAGCTGAAGCAAAACGTTTTGTTACTTCATCACGATCATCGTCATTGTCGAAAATAATATCATCCATTTGATTTGTTTTTGTTATTGATATTGTTTGAGCATTGCAGATCATTTGCTGAATATGTTTAAGTAGGATAGATGCAAGTAAAATTTGTTCTGTGTCACGTTTTTTTATTTGATTACATCGTAAGAAATTCGTTGACTTAATTATTTCTGAAAGAAGATATGCTGTTAATGAATAATGAAACAAATCATCTATTGACATTTGTTCTGTATGTGTTATTAATTTTTGTATCGAAACGTAATCTGATTTATATATCTTATTTTGTTCTTCATTGTCGTTTGGAATTGTCGTTTGAGTTATTGTTGTCCACAATGTTTCATGATCAGTTATTGTTAATGTACGATAAGCTGCGTATGAATTAAATTTTATTTACGAACTATTTGTTCACAAAAAGAAAGATAAGTCTTACCGAGAAAAGCGATTCCTAACGTTTTAAGTATATGAATATGTTTACATTCATATTGATGATAACTAGCGAGTGCACGTTGCTGACAATGCTCACTACAGAATAGTACGTGGGAACATTGTGGACAAACATATGGAATGACAATAGATGTTAAACTAAAAACAAAATGCACAATACAGAAATATGTTTTATTATTTTTTACTAGGTATAAAAATCAACACCAGTGACTTACATGAAGTGTTACTCAAAGCATCTTTAATAGTCGATATATGAATAAATTTAATCATTCAATAATAGTCGTTCTACTCATTAGAGATGTGCGGAATCACCGTTTTTTTTTTGGCTTCCCATGATTCTAGCTATTCTATTTTCCTGTCCTACTTAGAGGAAAATGTTGCAGAATTTATTTGTCTCATATTTTAATTACTTCTTCAACATTCGTATTTTTTTCCTACAAGATCTACTTGCCGGTAGTCCGGAGTACGAGAGTCTCACTTTCTTCGTTTTGGCGGACTATTAGAGAATCGAATTTAGCTATGTCTCAACTTCCTTTGCAGCAGTAATAGACAACGATTCTTCATAGGCGTTAATAGTTAAATAAGAAAAGCAACAAGAAAAAAAAATCACTAACCAATGATCACAATAAGTATAAGCAAATTTAGGTAATAATAAACAAGCATATGGACGTTCATTGAGCACTAATACGTCAGATGGAATATCTTGATTAGCAACAATATGTCGGCCTTTGTCTTTTGAATTAGCAACACGTAATGTTGAACTAGCACATGGTACATACTTATTAGATCCATTTAATAATAGTTTTGATTCATCAACAAGAATAGTGCTACGAGGTGGCGATGGGGGTGATGGTGGACAAAATTCATTAGTAGCTTTTTCTTCAGTCGATTTCGATAAACAAGCAACTATGGTTTCAGTGGGTGTTGGCGAATTTTGAATGAGATCATCTAGATTTTTATATGACATAGTTTGTGGTTCTTGTTTTTCTTCTGCTTCTTCTTCTTTTCGTTTATTTAAAATAGCTATTTGTCGACTTAATTGATCCATTTCTTTACAAAACGAATCGATTTTTTTCCTATCCAAACCAGCAGTTCTCTTAATCAGATCACGGCATATTTTAAGTTCATATGCACTACGTTCAGGATCACTTAATTTATGATAACAAGCTGCTCGACGAAAAACTAGCCTAGAAAACAGCAGAGAATGACATTCAATTGAAAGAAAACAAAAATCAAGTTATTTGAACTTACTTAAATTTAAGTTCAGTGGGGTAATAGTCATTCGCTAATTGAATAGCACGTATTGACTCATGATAATGATTTAATTCGAAAAGAACAGCTGATAAATTTCCATAGGATAATGCCATGTCTTGACTATTTGAAGTTGATAATGCAATACTTGCACGGTAACACCAGGCTGCACGGGACAAATCTTTTTCGACAAAATAGTCATTACCTTTTTTACGAAAATTTATTGCTGTTGTTGCATTTTTTGTTAGACATGATGATGTTGATGATAGATATCGTTCAAACGTGTTTGATAAAAGACTCGTTCGATGATTATGAATAAAACGTATACGATCAAGGTCAGACTTTAGATGACTAAATTCTGTATAAAGACCTTTTTGTATCGCAAGATCAAGAGTATTCGAGGCTGTATCAAGCCAGTCCATATCAGAAAATGGAGACTCCATGAAGATTTTTCAAAATATACGAAAAAAAATATATATCTATCTAGAAAGAGAGAATTGAAACTTTGTTTTTCCGATGGAAATAGTTTCTTTTGCTCGGGCATTTTTCTTTCCAAGGAAAACTCATTTAAGAATCTTCTTTTTTTCCGACAATGCCCCATGAACAAAAAATATTGCATTTTAAGCGCGTCTTTCTTTCATCTATTCAAAAGTTTTTATACTCATGATCCACAAAATCGTCATTCTGTGATGCAGACAATTTATTTCTTGTCTCACTTTTCATGTTTCAGAAGATAAAATCCATATTCGATCTCTTCTAATCTATGACTAGCATCTTCAAAAACACCCCCATCAAAATTCATTGTACTTGGGAAAATCTACTAATAATGTATTCAAAAAGTATAAATTGCATATTGATTATGATCTATTCTTTTCCTATGCGATTAATTTTATTCAGAAACCAGCAGATCATTTTCTCGGTGGACAAACTTCTTAAACCACTATTGAAATAATAAAGAACTTCTAAGTCATAGAAAAACAAAACTTTCATGTATACATATATATATTTAAAAACTGCGCATCATTACTTCTTTTCTTCAATAAATAAAATCATCATGTGAAAACTCAAGACATCTAAAATATTATTTTATTATTATCTATTTCTTGGCAACCATGGTAAAATGTATATATATATAATATATTATTAAGAAAGGACGAAATCATACATATAAAAAGGCTGACTTAGAAACTCAGAAAAAAACGAATTCTCCACAACAACAAAAAGATGATATGTGATTAGCCATTATATATTTGACCATCACTACCTGAGAATATAATTCAAACTAAAACAAAATCACACGCACACTGTTTGATTGCATTGCACACAAACGTTAGGACACAATAGAAAAATGCAGTTATTTCTCAAGACGCAACTGTAGTTTCGATCTGTTGATAAAACGATGGCGAACCGTTTGATTGCGGCTCGGTTATAACAGATACAAGATCACCAACAGCACGATTTATATCATCAGCCATATGAAATAGATTATCAATTGTTATCAAATCTAATAATAGAAAAACAGAAATTCGAATTCGATCTTTTTCTTCTATAAGCGAAAATTACTTGATTGTCTTTCAAGATTTCTGTCCATTGAACGTCTTAAACCTGATGTTGAACTATGTAATGGACTTGATATCGTTGTTGAACGATGTTCATTCATACTAGTATTGCTTGTATGATGATGTAATAAAGGCGACTATAAATAAAATATACGAAAATGAAGAGAGAGGGAAAAAAAAGAAGTTTTGTTCTTACTTCTCGAAGTAGTAATTGTTTCGATTTTCTTAATTGTTTTTCAAGCTGTTTATTATGTTCTTCAAGTATCTTCATACGTTGTTCTAATTTTGTTTTATGATGACGTAATTGTTTTGCTTCGCGTAACATTTCTCGGTCGCTTGAATTGTAATCATTTATTTGTGACAATGAACCTAATTGACTATCACTTTGATGAAATTGATTCTGTCGATCATTCATAATCAAAGATTTTTCCATGTGTTGTTGACATAGACGTTCATATTCATTTTGTAATAAGTGATTTTCATCTTCGAGATCACGAATTATTGCTTCTAATTCATTACGTTGTTCGGGATCAAGCGAACGAGAACGTGTTAAAATATCATGTGCTGCAGCACGAGGCTAAAAGATGAAAAAAATCATTGACTTAATATAAATCTGCGGATATTCATTGTATGAAATCAAGGTCCAGTGTCTATGTATTAAGCAAATAGATCGATTTCATTGTTGATATGAATGAATTAAAAGGACATAGGAGTCAATCTTGAAATCAGATATCCATAGGCAAGATTAGTCTTAATCTGTTTCAAGAAATCAATCAGAAAATCTTCTAGAGCTTTAGCATTATCTAACTTCTTTGCAGATAGTGGTCAGTAACATTTAAAGAATTAGTACTATTGTTTATCTTATGTAACGTGTTAGAATAAAGTCACAGATGACTGATGTTGATATTTCGAAAGTATTTACTATGACCACCATTAATCGAGCTTCACATCGACACCCGAGTTAAAATTTGTAAGATGGCGTGAAATAATCCCTCAGAATATTATAAGGAATCAGTCCTCCGATGCAACTTCTATCACTTAATCGGGTCGATGTGCTAGAGTTTTTAATTAAAAGTTCTATATGCATACCGATGCTCGCACCAAATTGTTCAACGTTCGGCAATGCTGCGCAATGATACCATGTTCATCACTATTAAATAAAAAATATTAAAATTTTCTCTATAAAATTTGTTCCATTTTCTTCTTACGATTCAACGGATGAAGGTAGCGGTTGAACAGCTACTACGACAGGTCTAGATTAAAAAAAAAAGAGTCATTAACATAATTCCTATCCGATTAAAATATGAAACGCAATGTTGCTCTTATTGTTAAATACACGGAAGTTGCTATTTATTCTATTCATATCAGAACACGTTTTTTCATCATTGTTCTATTGAGTTCCCCTCAAAAAGGCAACAAGGAAGCAATACAAATACGATTATTGACTAACAGAAGTATACAATACTTCTTGTGAGACTAATATTAATTAAACGTTCATTTACTTGAATGGTGTTGCTAAAGCAGGAACTAGTACAGGAGAAGATATTGGTTGAGATGTCACTGGAATATTATTATCGAAAACATGTGGTAATGGTAAATACCCAAGTTTGGGATGTTTTCGATGTTTACTCCATAATTTATTTTTAAATATACGAAAGAAATCTCGAATATCTTCTGACGATGTTGTCTAGACAGAGAGAAATGCATATAAATGAATGTTATTAATGAGAAGAAAAAAAATCATCAACTACATACTTCGGTATAATATTCTTGTAAGGGATCATCCATTTTAAAAATTTTGGTTTGTTTCCCAGAAAAGAAACAATTTTGACATATGTCGCAATTAAAATGTTTTAATGAACGATAACGAAAACCAAGTATGGGATAAAGTTTACATATACTACAACGGGCTTCATGTTTAGCAGCTTCACTTGCTGCTAATCGATGCATAACAGGCAGCCATACCAATGATTGTGGTTCTAATTTAACCCATTCAAGAAAATCATTAGCTGTTAATACATCGGGATTATGTATCTAAAAATATAGTTATGATAAAAATTAAATTGTCAAAATACGACAAATCTTACATAGTCAAAACAACTTTTAACACTTGGCTCAACACTTGATCCACCAAATGCAGCTATTTCACCGAGTTGTTTGGGGATCTACGGAAAAGAAAAAAATAATCAAATAAAAATAAAAGCCTTAATTTAGTTTATGATTTTTTCTTCAAAACTGATTCGACTAATAAAAAATAATCTAAGATCTTTACGTCATAATTGATTGCATCATCCAAAATCGACATGAATAATTCGATAAGAAATACGATGCAATCACTGCTATTGTGAATGAACAGATGCTAATATAATCTGTCATCGATTTAGATACAAAGAACGTATTGAATGAAATGTTGCGTGATGTTTGAAATAATCTCTAATCTTCTATCTAATTTTATATAGAAATGTTGATTAAAATCTATAGACAATACGTATTCTAATTCTATTCAACACTTCTTTCGTTCTTTTTTCTCAATTCGTTAGACAATAAATAAATGCATACAACTATTGCTTGTTGAAATAGAATGGACAAACGTTGTCGATCGACAACATCACAAGCATCGTTATCCGTCGGTGTATATGCCACTAATGAGAATACATCTAAGAATAAGATAAAAAGAAAATCAGAGACATGTCGAATAGAAATTTTCCTATGCTGAACATACATCGATATTTTTCTTCAATATTTCCTCTGCAAAGTAGAGCCAATGCCATTTTCATTGCTAATAAACGAATTGAACCAGTTCGGTTTCTAAACATTACAAAGAAATATATTGATTTAACTCTGTATTCCAATAAAAATCACAATCATTATTATTTGAGCAGAGAAATTTAATTGCTAGTTTCTAGAGCGAAAAGTTTTCTATAACGTCTCAACACACGTTCCATCTCAGAGAAAATCGTTTGCTTTATCATTCGGAATAATTCACAATTGGAATTGGAAAACTTGTTTTTTTGAAAACACCCTACAGAGAAACGCAAACTCATCCGCAAAATTGTTCTTCTCATTGATTATCGCCTGGAGAATACGATCTCTGGGAGTTACATTAAATTCTCATCTTCTTACAGGTCGTAAATATTTAATAACCAATTAAGAGCTAAATCAACAGTGAGTGTAACATTAACTAATTGTGGATATTCATTGGATGTTTTTTCAAATATTGATTGTAAATAATAAAGAATCTCTGTTATATCTATATATTTATCAATATTTTTATTCGGTGAATCGATTGTTTGATGTTCTTCGAACACACTTATAATGTCACTGAGAGATGTTAAATCAACTAAAAACAAAAGAAGCTTAGATAGAAGGAGAAAAGAAGTCTAAACATACGACAAAGACGTTTCTGTAATGTGCGAAGTTTCATTGCTGTACGATATGCAGAAAAGCGAATATCATTGAAACTTGAAAATGAACGCATTAATTCGAGCCTAATAGAACATAAAATTCTTTTTATTTCAGATAAAACGAAAAAATTTCTTAATTTACATTTTTGGATGATCCCAGGATGTTGTTTGATCGGAATGACTATAGAACGAATATATCAATAATTTGATGTGAAAAACAAAATAATGAAGTAATTTACTTGATAAAATATGGTACTTTATTAAAAGCTACAGAACGTTGCCAAGGATATTCAACTGATTTTGAATAAATATCGCTCTCAGTATTTCTTACTGAATCTTGTAATAATTGTATTCGTTGTGAAACTGATTGTACTGAATGTTCCCACCTAGACAAAATAATATAAAATATTTTCATCTCTTCGATTTTTATCAAACCTTTGATTAAGTTCATGTACATGATTTATTGTATTAATGCCATAATCGTTTTCAATTGTTTGTGATAATTGTTGAATATCATCAATAGATGTTTTACATGACATCAGAGTTGAAAGAAGATGCTAGAAAAAAAAGAAGAAAAGCTCACAGCTAACTTAATACTTCAACAGCAAATAAAACTCATTTTTAATATCTCAGAAAAGTAGCAATGTTTGAGTAAAATTCGAAACGTCACCTACAATCCTCTTTTCGATCAAAGTGCAAAAGCAAGATTAGTAGGTATGAGTCGATGACAAACAGTAATACTCAGTTGTAATCCTTCGAGCAATGTTATCTGTATTAATAAGACTATCCAATGTTTTTTTTTATCTGTCTTAGCAGTCGCGTATCCAATCAAATACGATGAGTCCCTAAGGTCTATATTTCTTTCTTTGAACTCAATCATATTAACAGAACTATCTTAACTAACATTTATTTTACGCAGTGAAAAACATGAATTGTTCTATTGAATATTTCGCATCAATCAATGTTAAGAAGAAAATGCTTTATTATACTGTTCTTTTAAAAAAAAGATGCAAGCATCTCCTATTCACTATTTCTGTTCTTGAAACAGATACTCTGACGAATAATAGGGTAAAAATTTACAACCCTGTTTATTTCCCAAGGTGAATATTTAAACTTACTTTAGTCTCTTCGATTTCCACTGGTACTTGTTCGCTGTTTATTGAGCGTATTTGTGGCTGTTGAACATGAGCAAGTTCGATATCGAGCAAGTGTGCATGTAATTGATCACACTTACGGCGTAGTTCTTCGACGGTCTAGAAGAACGAAAAAAGATAAATTCTATATCACAGAAAAGATAAAAAAAATAAAATACCGTTTGAACACGTTGTAAAGTTTTTAAACGCTGTCGTACGTTAGAATTAGCATTTTTCCAACGTTGATTTAGTTGAAGAACATGTCGACGAACTTTACGAAATGTTAAATCGGAATATTTCTTTAATGGAGGTGATGGTGACGATGATAATAAATCAAAATTTCCACCTCCAGTATCGTCTAAGAAAGCCCAAAATAGATAATAGAAAGTTATATGATGATTATGAACAAGAACAAAAAAGGTCAGGGTTAGTTAGAAAAAAGAGAAATTGTTTCTTTTTTCACTGGTTGATTTTTAGGACAAATCACAGCGCAGAGATCAAATAACTGAGAATAGCGGACGACCTCTTTCCAATGGAACATTATATTGTAAATATTTTTACTACATACCAGCACTTTCGACACCACTACTATCTTTGTTATTGTCCGATGAATAGAGACGTTTGCCTGTATTGATTACTTGTTCAACATGTGGACGAAGATTTTGATCGAGTTCGGTAATAATACGCTGAAAGCAAAGAAAATGGGAAGGTTCCTTTTTTTTTTCATAGAAATAAAAGAAAAATAGAGATTGCGATTATTTCCTCTATTTGCATGAAGTATCGTTGAGTGTCACTTGATTAAGAATGAGTAAAGAACATGTAGCATGCTCAAATTTCTTCGTCTTTTTTTTTCATTTTTATTTACCATAAGAAAAAAAATGATTTCATTAAATTTGTCATTTAAGAATTATCGAGTTTAACTTCAACTTTTCTTGCCAAATGTAAAATATAAATTGTGCTTGACTATTATCAATAATTAAACTAGTCCAGATGAATTTGTTCTTTCATCTTTGTTTATAAAGGCGGCTATCAATAACATAGACTGTTAGATATGAAGAATGTCTACGAGGTAATCAACAGAAGTTAAGAGAAACAAGTCGATTGGTTAAAGGCAATTTTGCTGATGTTATCCATCAACACTAGACGATCTATTAAATCGCCATATAAAAAACATCAACACAAATCAGTTCGTTAGATATTCTTTCGGCCTTTCTTTAAAAAATACTTTCTATTATATATAGATTTAGAAGAAAATATTGACATGTTTTTACGGCCTCGAAATATTTTCATATGCCAATGCTCAATGAAAGAATAATATTCCATGAGGAATTTCTACGGATTCGATTAATTGACATATATATATGAATGTGAAAATTTTACCTGACAATCGGTCATAAGCCTTCCATAATCATTAATTGGTTGTAAAACATTAGCTCGGATTTGTTCTTCCGTATCTCGTAAGCGTCGAATTAATAGATCAGTGTTAGTAATAATTTGTTCCGTATTAATAAATGAAGAATTCTTTTGTCGAATTTCTTCGATTTCTTTTTGTGCGTGTAATAATCTTTCATGTAAATTTTCTACGCGTTCTTGATCATCAGTATTTAAATTTTCCGGTAAATTAGGTCGTTCTTCAATTAATTGAAGAATTGTCTAGAAAACAAAAAAGGAATATCACGATTAAATTATTCAGCGAGAAATAAAATAAAATAAAATCAAACCTTTAATTTCGATTCATTAGTTTCATTCTGTTTATAAGAACTAATATTCTCTTCGATTTGTTTAAGATACTCATCGAAATCATCGATACTTTTCGATGTATCAACAGTTGCTAATGGAGCTGTTATACGCGTTTGTTGTTGTTGTTGCTCATTTAGCCATTGTCGTATATCAGAAGTCATTTCTTTTGGATAATTATCAATAATATCGATTACTTCATTAGTTTCTGTTGTATTATTTTCACTACTAAAATGCGAAACGAAATTAACACGAAGCTGATCAATACGTGTTGTATCGATTAACATTTGTTTTAGTATCGACTGTCGAGTTGCAATCTCATCACGTACTACATAAACAGAAGCAATACAAAAACAAAAACAAAAGCACAGATATTCATACGTGATTCAGGTAGATATAATATCCAGCTCGAAGTTGTTTCAAATTGATCATTAAATTGGCCTATTTTAATATTGGTTAACAATGACTATAGGCAATGAAGAAGAAGAAGAAAAAACGAAGATTGACAGTTCAAATATTTTATGGTTTTTCTACTCTTACTGCTATGTTGTTTTGATGCTGTTCAATAGCTTGAAGATTACCCAATTGTATAGTTGTATTTAGTAGTTTTGTAGCTTCGTCAATTAGTTTGGCTTGTCGTTGTTTCTCAGATAGTGATGATTCTAACGGTACTATTGGTGGTGACTTCGATAATTCAATAGTCGCTGTTGTTGGAGAATCATTGACTAACAAGCGGAAAGAAAAAGGGAAATTAATGTAACCGAAAAAACTTGAGATGGTGTGGCTACTTTATTACTTCCCCCATGATGCCGTAAAGGTCTAAGAAAGTGAACTATTACTCTTCAATCACTGAGAGAAAAAGTAAGAGAGAACAACAGCAATGAAACGTAGAAAAGAAAATAGAGAGAGAGAGAGAGAGCGAGAGAGAGAAACGAACTTAAGCTCCTGTATTCACTTGCGAGACATGCACAATGGAGAAAAGAAAAAATACAACGGGAGAGAGGGAAAGAAAGACACAAAGCAAGATGATCATCATCAACTCACCTCAGGCTGTGTGTGTCTATACTTCATCAGTAGAAAGAACAAGAGAACACAAATTTAGTCGACAGGCGACGCATCGATATGTAGATGCGTTCGATACATACGTGCAACCTATGTTTATTATTATGTCGGTTGCAACTAATCATAATGAACCTACCCAACAAAGAAATGAGTTCTTATTATTAGTTTTGTCGGTAGGGCACATTAATTATGTCATGTTACGTCATTAGAAAACTTTCTTCTATCTGTATATGTGTGAATGCATGCATACATACATACATGCGGATTTGTCTATTGAAAGACTTATTGATCTACTTAAGAATATTGTAGAAAGATCTGGCGAAACAAGGCGAACATACGAATAACAAGTGTTTAACTTCCTGTATTAGGCAAAATAAATAATGGGTACCAAAAACTAGTCATGGCGGAATGTGAAAAAATCCAATTATGTATTTGTGTGTCTGTTTTTCTCATCGCATTGCGTGTGCCTGGTCTCTGTCTCTAAGTATATTAGTCTGAAACTTCTTTTTTTTCTGTTCTTTCTATGATCATGATTAGTAGTTTTCATTATTGAAGGGAGGAAAAAAGAGAAACGGATTAATTTAACATGCAATGCTACTACAATCACTACAGAGTTTGAATCATGTAGCTCGCATGGGTGTGCTAATGGAGAAATAGAGACGAGTCGTGCTATTGATAATGCGATGATAATAGTAAAATTCAATGAATAGGAAAATAATACGCAATAAAACTAGAGAAAATATTCATATGTCTCAATACAACTTACTCATTGATGTTAATTGATTCCACATTTTAATTAAGTTTTTAAGCTTTTCTTTAACTTCATGATTATTGGCATGACAATATTTAATTAATTCATCGAAATGTTGTTGTCGCTCGATGACAGCTAATTTAATCGTCTATTAAATAAGAGTTTAGATTTCAATGAATAGGAAGTTAGGATCTTATTTTACTTGTTCATCTGTTGCTTTTGATTCGTTTATGAAGTTTGTTACCCAATTATTTAGTGAATCTAATTCGCGAAGAAATCCATGCTGTTGTTCAATACGATTTTCTAACTCAATACGTGCTGCTGTTATACATTTTGAGATCTACGAATAAATGAAAGACATACAGAAAAAAAAATAATAGACAAGGATATAAAACAAAAACTATCACGTACTTCTGTCAATTCATCCGTTAACGAACGAGTGACTTCGCCTGTCGTCATATCATCCGTTTTCAATGTTCGGCAATTTTCATCGAGTAAAGTCCTTAATCGATTTATTTCTTGTTCACATTCCTTGAATAAAGAAAAGGCAGTTAACTTTCACTTTCTCTCTCTCACACTCTCTGTTTTTGAACAGAAGATATCTATCAACTTTACTTTAAGTTGACAAAGAAGACTATGTTCGTTGATTTCATTATCAGATGAAATCAATGAGTCGAGGAAGCATCTTTGATCCTCGATCATACCGTGCTCGCGCATCATAAATTGTTTTTGCTGATGAATCAGTTCTCTTGCCAATGTAAACCAACTTTCAATATAATGCACAAGATTTTCATTTTGTTTTGTTAAACGATCTTCTTCACGAGTTCGTTCAGGTGACGCATAGCGTGATGCATGTCTAGAGAAAATGAATATAAAGATTCATTTAGATTGACAACGATATCACAGTAGTGTCAAACTTGAAACTTGAATTGAGTTGAAAATAGAAAATTTCAACTTATGGCGATATACGTATGTGTGAGTCACTATTCTTCAGAATGCTATTGGTTTAAAAGTTGAAAACCGAAATTTTCAATGGAAATCAAGTTTCAAGTTGCACATACATGACAAGATGAGAACATAGACATAGACAAAGTAGAAAATTTACCTTTCTTTAAGTGTATTTAATCCTTCGATAAGAACTCTCCATTGTTCTTTAACATCAGCTATTTCATTTGTCATTTTTGTTGCTTGTTCATCTGGTAAATCAGCAGCCATTGTAAGATTTAATATTGTTGCACGTTCTAATAACGATTTGTATTTGCTTAATTCATCAAGATTCTATTGAAGAAAGAGAAAAGAAATAAAACATGTAATTACAAGAATCACTATTCTACACAAGAAAAGAACATTGATTTTAACGATCAAACAAACGTTCGTTTATATTTTTAAATCAAGGTTTGCAGCTCGATTCGTTTTATTTTGTTCATTTTAAAACGTACCTTGACAATAAGTAATGCTCGTTGTTTATTAACTGATTGTAAAACTTCATGAATATTAGCATTGGTCGAGGTCAACCATGTTGACAAACGTTCTATATATTGTTTGTATTCAGCGAAAGGGCGTGTTTCAGCCATCTTAACACTATAATGTTTTTTATAATCGTCGCAAAGACGTGAATAATCGTGTGACAAACGTTCAACTAATGGGGTCGCAGATCCAAGTTGTTTTGCTGTACGAACGGCTGGCGCAAGACTATTAATAGCGTCTTTAATTGCCTAGAAAGAAATCATTGAGACACATGGTAATATTTTTTAATTGGTAAATAGCTTGTTTCATGACAATTACAATTATCAAAAGGTTTTATTACATATGCTACATATGCGATAGTCACTCACTCGAAGATATGCATGATTTTTCTTGTTCCTATTTTACAAGTTTCTCTCTCGCGTTTTCTCTTCTTCTTACGTTCAAGAGTTGACATAAGAAAAGAACAGAGAATTGATTGTGGGAAGCCCCTTTGCTCTTTTAATGAATCGAACAAACAATGGTTACTATGCTTTTTTGCTGTATATATATATTTAGAGACATAGATATATATATATATGTGTGTCCGTGTGTGAGTATTTGACGAGTAATCAAGTGTGCAAGAAAGAGAAAGTTACAAGCGCACTGCTACGGAGCATACAAAAGTGATTAAGCAATACGAATAATAGAGACGGAAGAATGTATTCATGTTAACGTGGTACAATCATTAGTCATTTATGTGAATAAGATGAGAAAGTTTTTTTTTCTGCTTAAATTGCCTGTGATTATGCATTTATAAGAATATAGTATGTAAAATACACACATATATATATATATATAAATAAATAAATAAATGGATAGTGTTATTGTTTAAATTTGAAGATAATAATATTCTTTCGACCATGAAAAGAAAGAGAGAGAGAGAGAGAAGATATCGAGAAAAAAGTCCTAGCTAATACAAGTATAGAATTTGTTATGTTGATGTCATGCAAAAAGTAGATGTTATTATGGCAATGATAAATGATGGAGCACTTTACTCGAATAAAAAGATACAGTACTTCTTTTCTTTTCTTCTATCAAGACCAAAAGGAATTACTGTGCGTATAGGAGGCTACAATATAATCGATTCGAGTATTCAATTGCTTCTATACTTATATAATAAGTAAGATTCAATCCATTAGTGAAAATTGAAATATGATCATTGTCCAATTTATATCAAGGACTTTGATTGATTAACAATATTATAAAAGTGATGACACTTCTTTCATCAAGAATAATGTCTCGAACATTTGTGTTATGTTGAAATGTCTTTTTTTGTATATAAATTTTATGTTTCTTACTTGAAGTTTAGTTGTTAATTCTTCATTTGATTCCGTCGCTTCCTTTTGAATTGTCAGGACATGCAGATGTTTACTTAAAGCGGATATAGATGATAGCAATTTTTGCACACATTGAATAAAATCAGCAGGTATGTTCTCTTTCTTCTCCACGGGCGATGCCATTGGGATCGGATTTAGTACGTAGAGGAAAAAATCTTGAGATAGGCACTGCAGTGATGGATTTGCTTGTTATGTTTGATAAGAACAATGCAAGACAATGATAACAAGAAAGAATATGCGCGAGTGAGAGAGAGAGAGAGAGAGAGAGATATAGAATGAGAGAAAAGCAAATCGGCCAACGCTTAATTGTCGCCTATGTCAATAGTGTATGAAGGATGACTGTGAAATAAACAGTCGAGCCGATGTAGTATATGCTCGAAGTCATCAGGGTCGCCAATTGTATATGCGTGTGTGTGAGGACGCGTAAAAAGATGGTTAATTGTTTTGGTGGTAATAGAAATGGCTCTTTGTATGTCGGTTTGATCAATTTTTCCTTGTTCTCGCTGTTGGGTGCGCATTTTTCGCTTGTAGGTAATGATTATAGCAAAAAGCAAGGACGTCATCCCATATCGTTGATATTTCTTCTCCGTCTTATTTCTGTCTCCATGTCCCCCCTATTCGCTCTCTCTCTCTCTTGCTCTTTCCATTCTTTTTTATCTTGCTTCCATATATTGATGCGTAGTCGACCAGGATCCTGTACAATCGATCTTTTGGTATTCTCATAACAGCGATTGGCAGATAGAAATGACTATACGTGTACAATAAAAAGAAACATTGCAGGCGACATTGAACTTATCGCTGCTATTGTCTAAATCTTGTAATTACGAAAAAATAATTCATATGAATTAGCTATTTATTTAAAAAAAAGCTTCCATTAGAATATTTCGTTTTCTTATAGTAAATACTTATATATTTATTAAAGAAAGAAAAAAACGAAAAGAAAAGAGAAGAAAAGAAATTAAAAGACACAAATTGTACTAGTAGAAATTAAAAACCATAGACAATTCTTCAAAAAAAAAGACAAACGAAGACAGATGCCAAAAAGCAATATATTTCTTTTTCGTAAAAAACTGTGCATTGGCACCGACATTTCCAAGATATAAATCAAAAAAAAATTAAGAACGAAGAGTAGAGAAAAAAAGCGCATGTATACACACTGCAAACAATGTTTTATTATTCTACTTGTAGAATTTAGGTAGGACTAACTCTCTCTCTGTAATTCGCTATATATATTAACATGGGAGTTTCGTTTTTGCTCTCAGTTGACAATACGTTTCGGATGACGACCAACGCTTTGTGATGGAAATATTGGTTGATCATTAGTTTGTTGTCGATAACTGTCAGTTCCACCTCCATGTTGCTCATTATAAAAATAATTTGGAGTTTGTTCTTGTGAGAAACCATTTGTTGTTCGAAAACCTCTCGATGTTTCATATTGAACAGGTATCGATCGATTAAATGTTTGAGTTTGTCCACTGGCACTTGCACTACGTACTTGTTGTTGTTGTTGTTGTTGCGGATGTTGATTTTGCTGTTGAACATGAGCACTTGATTCTTGATGTTGTTGACGATGAGATTCACCTCGTGATGTACTTTTTTCAGCCACATGTCTATCAATAACACGTTCACGATAGACCATAGGTTGTTGAGGATAGAAGTTCGGAGGTGGTGGCGGTGGATAAGGTAAGAGACTTTGTTGCATTGGAAAGCCACCATTTGGCATACTAGCCGATTTCGATATTGAACTTTGATAATTATCTTGGCCACCTTGTTGATTTTTCGTTTGTTTGGTATATTGAACATTTGAACGTTCGTATGAACGATAACGTGGTTGTAATATTGGTGATGATGGTGCACTCAATGTTCGATGATCCATTGCTTTCAAACTGCGTACACGTAATAATGGTTGCAATTGATATTCTTCATAGGCTGGAGCAAAACGTGTTTGATCATCGGCTTTATAACGTTCAAGTGAATGAACTGTTTTGCGATATTTTGTATTAAAACATGGTGCTGGTTCACTAATTACTGAACGTGCATCATCAATATCGTAGATGAAATCGGAATCCATTTCCTAGAATAGAATAGAATCAATATTAAAAGGTCATTTTTTAATATTCAGGATACGATCGACGTATGGCGAATAAGTTCTTTTTTAAATCTAAACTAAATGTTCTTATTCATTTCGAATATAAAACAATCAGTTAATTCAATAGTTAGAATAGAGAGGAAAATCTGTTCGTACTATAAAAGAAAAAATGGCAATCATATTTAATATATATCGATGGTCTCAGTAATTATAATCATGAATATTCAATTCCAATGTGTTAATGCTAATTATAATACCAACATCTATACCAGTACCAAATAACATGATTCCAATACCATAAAGAATAAAATTGACCAAATTCAATGACCAGCGTACTGAACGCAAATACAAAAAAAAGATATCTGTTATCACACTTCCGAAAACAAATTCCAGGAAGTGCTAACTAACACAAAAAAGTGGTTGTTTGCACACGCAACTAACTCGTCCACTGAGAACGAGCTATAACAAAAAAAACGGCATTCCAAATGAATATATTTAATTTAATTTTCCCATATCATAAATAATGAAATAATTTTAGACCATATTCTATAAGAATTTAATACAAATTGTAGATATATGAATAGCCAAATAAATTCGACGTCAATTTTATTCATCATTGACTGATCGATTTCTTTCTGATTGCCATTTTTTATTTTATATTATTACTGGGAAAAACAAAGAGAAAGAGTTTTTGCTTCTCATACCCGCTCTCTTGGTACTGTTCTATCGATTGTACGAATATGTTCTTGACATCGTTCATTATATCGAATAATTTCTTCGTCAGTTTGATAGGGAGTCGAACGAGTTTTAAGATTCTCCAAACAGTCCTAATAAAAAAAATGTTATGGAAAAATTGAAATTCAATATGGAAAAAACAATTACTCTAAGTCGAAGAATTTTCTCTCTGATACGACGTGCTTGTTCAACATCTGTTTTTTCGATAATATAGGCACGTTCTTCTGTTTCACGTATGATTCTTTCGATCTCTTCATATTCTGGTCGATCACGAATCGTTCGTTCCTGCAAACAAAACAAAAAATGCACGTGTATAAAGTATATTTCAGCGAAGCAGTAGTAATATTATATTAATAAATATCTTCATGCATAGAAAATACTCTACATGCCACAAAGCGTTAATAAAATGAAAACGATAATAAATAATAAAACGAAAGGCATACTCGTCTAGATAATCTCCGATGTTTAATATCGGAATCTTCATCAGTTTCTTGTTGATTGTCACTTAAACGTTCGACTAATTTCATATAAGCCAAACAACGTAAATATTTTTTCTTAAATTCTTCATCAACAACACCATGTGCAGTGCTGACATCTGATGATTCTGATGGTGATCGATGACGTGATTCACGCTCAGTACGATTGTATCGTTTTTCGGAATAATATTCTCGACGAACGTCATCACGTTGATCATTATGAATACTATTATTATTTGTTGTGGTTGTTGTTGCTTGTTGTTCTCGTAAACGTTTATCCTGTATTTCCTGCAAGAATTAGGTTGTGTGGAGGAGAATAAAGGGAAAGTTTATGTGCAAGATCTAACTAAGCGTACTATGAACTAAGAATTAAGTTTTTTTGTTTTGTTTTGGTTTTCATCAATCCCATAACTTTACAACTACTTAGCAAAAATCACAAGAAAAAAGACTAATTTGCAGCGCAACAAATACCAACCTGAATAACACGTATACGACGTTGTAATTCTTCGAAATTTCGTGTTATATTTTCAATATCAGGACCAACAAGTTTGCTGTATGTTTCACTTTTTGATACAAGTTCTTGACCGAGATTAAGAATTTCATCAAGTTGTGTACGAACACTACGCAATTCTTCTTGGACTGTCTGCACAAAGAATAGAAATTTATATTTCGATTTTTATCTTTCTCTTTCTCTACTCACTGATATTCTTGTTAAATCAAGAACACGTTCAGCATCGGATAAAAGTGAATCTAATTTTTCCAAACGTATTATGATTCCTTTGTATATATGAGTAAATCTTTGATAATCATCTTCTAATTTTCGTACTTGACCCTATTGAAAAACGAAAATATTTTAGTCTATTTTTTTTTAACATACAAAACAAAAAGAAAAAAAAATCGACTTTAAAATCAGACGTAAATAATACCTTACGTAATCCAATAGGATATATAATATATTCAATAGGAGTAAGTGTTGCTGTTGATGATGCCGATATACCTGACGATGAGTCATATCCTGATTCACGTGGAATATAAAGTAAATTATGATAACGACGTGATGGTTCAGAATGTGATGACGTCGAACGTTGGACGCCAGTCCTTCTCATTCTGTCCTAGTCGTTTCCTTATTCTGAAGACAACAATAGATATACCCCAAACGATATCAATTATAAATAGAGAGAGAGAGTAAAAGCGAGAGCGAGAAAGAAAAATATGTTGGTGATAACAAAAGAGCGTAATCAGTAATTTGGTTTAGTAACACCTATTTATCTAGTGTTCTCATCTTTCTTCGCCGTCGATAGGTGGTGATAGTCAGAGAAAAGAAAAGATTTAGCCAACAGCTCGCAAGGAGAAAAGATATCCACACGATTCATTCACGTATATATAGACAAGATACACAGGAGGGTGATTGATGATGATGATGATGATGAAGCAAACCAGCTCGAATACTCTGTACAAGCATAGAAAGAGAACGACGGTGTTGTTATTTGCATTTCTTGCCTCGCACCCAACTAGTCTCGTCATTGGATATATGCTAGGTTGTTGACAAGCATAGCGTGTGAGTAGGAGTTTAGGAAATATCAGGGATAATTAGCAGAGAATATTCAAGGTTGAATCACCACTATCACTAGTTGTAATAAAAGGAAATGTAAATCTCTATCCGTTTCTTTAACGATATTTTATTATAGAGCATAAACATGATATATATTCAGATGTTGTGGATGGCGATGTCAGCCAAGAAATAAGACAGTAATCTTTTTTTTGGGAACCGAGAAAGAGAATAGATGTGGTCTTTTTGTTTTCTATGTTGGCACTAATGGATATGAATGGTTGAGAAGAAAATAGTGCATACAAACGGGGAAGAAGAAGAATAATAATAAGAAAGGAGCAGCCAGCCAAACGAGTGTACTGTAATGCGGGAAAGAATAAGAAGAACGAGAAACAAAAGTACAGAAAATTGTACAAAGAAAATGCGACGACTCCTTATAGATAACACTATGATTCGCTCGTTCTTGTTGTGCGCTTCTTCTGTCAGTGAATGACATACACACGCGTTGATGGAAACAAACTCTCTCTCTCTCGCTCGCTCGCTCTATGCTTCACAGAATGTATGATTGCATCCATAAATGTATCTCAATCGAGACACAAACCAAGATTCGCATCCTATATCTGCTTATTCTTACAAATAAATCATCTAGTGTACTATAGATCAGACGCTTCCTTTCTTGTATACAAACTTCTCAATCATAAATATCGATTAATACAAAGAACCACTATTTTCCTCTCCTTTCATATCATTTTATCTAATGATGAGTTCATTTCCTTTAGTAGTCGACCATCTGTATAATTACTGTGTCATCAACACAACACATAAATAGCACTTGTTCATATTACATCAATACGTGCTTTCCAAAACAATGATAACTATAAAGGGCCTTTCATAGATATTTGCGAAAGTATAAAATCTCAAATAAATAATATCAATTTTTTTTGCCTCATCTTACCTCAACAATATCTGATCGATCTTTGAGCCGTCTGTCTAATTGATCGACTTGACGTTTTAATTCGCTGATCTTTTCATGAAGACCTGGTAATGGGCGTTCAGTATCTTTCTGTATTGAATGTTCTAGATTTCTTAAGATTTCAAAATTAGCTTCAAGTTTTTTAATATCATTTCGTGTTGTCTAAAGAAACAAAATGAAAAAATTCTATTTATGCTGTACATTAAATTCTTTGAGCTTTTTACTCGTATCCAATCGATTTCTTCTCTGTTATTCTTTGATACTGGTTTATTTTCAATTTTACGTATTTCATGATCAGCTTTAACAAACCATTCATGAATATGCGAATATTCCTTACGAAATTTACGTAGATGACGTTCGACACTATCCAATTGAGTTCTTGCTGCTGATACCTAAACGATCGAGTTGTACGTTTCTATGGATAATTAAAATTATGAAATGAATTTATACTCTAGGTCCGAGATTATTGAAAGTTGCTTTTAACTGATCGATCTGTCTTGTTAAATCATTTGCTTCATCGACTTGTCCTTTTTCAACAATACTTCGTCCAACACGAATAACATATTCAACATCAGATTTAATATCCGATAGAATTTTATAAAGTTTCTATATGAAAAAATTTGTATATATTTATATTGAATCAAAAAAAAGAAAAGAGGAAAACTTACTAAACAATGTTCTAATTGATTATGAATGACATCCGGATCATCAGAACGTATTTCAAGTGTATAGATATTTTGTTCGACATCAAGTAAAATTTGACGCAGTTTAGCATATTTTGGTTCAAAATCGGATGGTTTTTGAAATTGCCGAAATTTATTTTTCAATTGATTGAATTGATTCTGAAAAATAAAATCATTTTTTTTACATAGAATTTCAAACGAAGAGATAAATTGTATTTTGGAAAATATATATGATAGAACAGGCGAAGAATTTTATCATTACATCAAAGCCATCTGGAAGTAATCTTTTTTTGCAAAGCATAAACAAGAAGCCTTGAAAGATACATTTTCACAGAAGCATCTCAGTATTCACATGAAGCCAATTTACCATGGAATCTTCCATTAATTAGGAGTCAAGATTTATATTAATACTGTGAAAAAATTAAGAACTTCCAAAAAGAAAAGTAGAAGTTTATATCAGAACAGAGTTAGTATATTTTAGAAAGTTTCGATACGAGTAAAATTTGGCTTCCAAGGTTATTATTCCTCAATATTGGTCATAAACATACTTGTGGTATGTAGACAAAGTATTTACTTTTAATTGTAAATAGAAAATACTGCGTTTACGTGCCACATTTTTGTTCTTGAGCCATATCGTGGAATGACCTTACCAGCAAATTTAAAACTCAAGTTAAAAGCTAGATATTGACAAGAAAATATTGAACTGAAACTGTTATTCCTATTCCGAAGTTCTGAATAGACCTACAGATCGCAATTTGATCTTATTGGAGAAAAAAAGGAAAACTCAAAATCCTGAAGAGATATCTCAATATGAGAAAGTAACATTCGTATGTCGTTCTAGTCTAGTGATTCGTTTGTTGATTGGCAAATAAATGAGGTCAATAATCAGAAACCATGCGGGAATTTTCTTTCGGCAGAAGTCATCGACGACTAACCATTAATTGCTATTCATGCATGTAAATAATCAGAGCTTTGTAGTTCTCTTAATTTATATATTGAGAAAAGAAGAGCCTTGCAAATAAAATGTTTACTTTTATTAGAACAAATTGTTGATCAAGTCGTCTGGCAGCATCATGTTTACCAACTATGCGTAGTGCATGAATCTTATCTTCTATAGTGCGCAAAAATGAATCATATTGGTTGAATTCGACAGTTAGTTTCTGTTAGAAAAAAAAAGAATAATTAATATCAAAATGTTTCTCTTGATTTGTTGTTCTTACATCAGCTTCACTCGGTACATCACTTGCATAGACATCATCTCTTAATCTTGAATTAAGTATTGTGTCTGTGTGGTTCATCCATTCAACCATATCTACGATTTGCTTGCCTAATTGTTGATAATCAGATAGTTGAGCATTTAATGTATGAACTCGTTTCAAAACCTTCAAGTAAAATAGTTAATGCAAAACAAAAACTCTATTTCATATCTTACATCTTCATGTAATTGATCCCAACGTAGTTGAAATTGACTGATTTGACTATTTATTGTAGGTATGGACACCTTAATGGCTTGAAGACGATCGGAGATTTCAAAAATTCTGTCATAATTCGCTTTTGGATGAGTTTTAATAAAACGTTCGATAGTCTGAAAAAGAAAAGTCGGTTAAGACAAAGAGAAAGAAATTTTCGTTTTTTTTTCTCTCGCGCTTACATCAAGTTCTTCTGATGCTTCTTGGGCATCAGCATTATGATTCACTGGTGTAAATATTCTATTTTGTAATGCATCAAGCCATACATTTTCTTGATAAAGTAATTCTAATAAATATAAAACACAAAACTTTAATTTGAACAAAACATCTGGGTAAGTACCTTTTAGTTCTTCATGTAATTTATAAAGTTCTGAATATAGTGAGATTTTAGTATCCACTTTTTTCTGTAAACTAGACCAATTTGAAACTAATGTGTCTAGATATTGTGTTAATTCAAGTGATGGTTGAGTTCCATCTTGTCTATTTCGATCAATCAGAGTTCGTAAAGTATGTTCTTTATGAGTCAATTCTGTTTGAAGTCTCTATAAGATAAAAAGCAGCATAGGTTTTTTTTGTTCTAGAACAGAAAGATTTTTGATTTTACTTGATACTGTTCAAGTCGTTCACGAAATTGTTCGTGATAGAATATGGATCCATCGTCAAGGAATGTTTCACGTTCTCTATCCATAAGCCAATCTTCTAATTCACGAATTTCTTCCTGTATTAATCTATTACGCTGTATTGTTTCCTAAAATTTCAACAATATTTTATTTCTGGCAACCTTGACAATCGTAATAATCATAAAAGACAAATAGCAATTTAGCGCAATGCCACAGCTTTTCTTTTTGTAAATATCTCGTTACCTGTAGGTCATAACTGTATACATATGTTACGAGTAACTGAATACAAGTTAAATAGAATTAACACATAAATAAGATAGTTATACAAATAGACTTCAAAGGATAACGGAATGGATTGATAATTGGATTAATAAAACTAGCAAATAGAATCGTTGACATACAACATTAATCCATCAATGTAGGACACGTAGAAGCTTAACAAGAAGATCATGTGTGGCGATAGGTGCGTGCCTCCTGATCATGAGCAGAATTCATGCAATATCGTGTCAATAATGGCTTGTTTCTCGTTGTAATATGACATTCTTCTGTCTACTCCATTTAACTCGACAGGTTATAAAGCTGAACTAAGTGCACACCATCATAGGTGCTGTACAACTATTGTACTAAGTGAAATTTTTTCTTTTTTCTTATAAATGGTGAGCTTGAAATCGACTCAGATTTCATAAAGTTGAGATTCAATCTCGTAGACTAGCTCGACGTGCATATCCTACAGACATAATTAGTAGATCAGATATGATAGATCATCACATCTAGGTCAATTACAAAAAATCTTAGGCCGAAAATAGAGAACTGCCAATACAGTTTAACTAATAGAAATAAATGTTCTCTTCTTAATTAACATTAGCTTCCAGTTATATTTTAATTGGCACATTATATGGTATGAGAATCGCTCATTGAGATCAAATTATAAACTCCGGTATGTCTCATAAAACCCTACAAATTTCATTCATAACTCGATTATGTTAGTCGGAAGTGGCAGACAAACAATATTACCATTGAGAGGAAGACTTAACAGGTATAAACTATCAAATGGTTTAGAAAATAAATAAAAAGCAATTTGATTTTCATATCGAATCCAAACTAACCTGCACATTTTGTGAATGAGCTTTACTCGAACTAATAAATCGGCTCCAACTTTCATTTATTATTCGCATGTCTTCTCGTAAACGTCGGGCTAAACTTTCATCGACATCTTTTGTTATATCAATAATATCTCGATTTAAACGATTAATAATTGTTTGTGTTTCGCGACTTTCTTGTTGAATATTCTAAATATATATTCAAATCAAATGATGAAAGAATTCTTTCTTTTTTCTTACCTGATTTCGGCCTAATTGATCTTCTACTCCTATTAAGCTTGAGCTAGTTGTTAAACGTGTTTGAGCATTACGAATCCAAATTTTAACTTTTTCCATTCCACTCTATAGAATAGAACATTTTTTGTTTTGTTTTGTTTTGCACTTTCAAATTTTCTTTTTTTTTCTTACTTCAAAATCATTTAATATTTTATCAAGATTATTACATTTTGTTAAACGATCACTAAGAAACATTTTAAGATCATTTAAGCGATCTCGATAATTAATTAGTTCTTCTTGCACACGTCGAGTTATATCAATAGTTAATTTAGAATAATGTTCAGTTGCTATTTTATTTAACGATTCTAAATTACGTTCTTGTTCAAAAGTTTGCTCAAGTAATTCTTTATAAACTTTTTTTTTCGCATTTATTGCATGAAGATCCGATATACGAATTTTATCTGTCAACAATGATTGTTCGACATATTCAAGCCAAACACGTAATTTGCAGTGTGTGTCAGTAAAGATTGATGGTAATGATGGATAATAACTAGTACCAGGTAACTTTTGTTCTTGATAAAAAAAAGAAAGAAACAATTATGTAAACATTAATTTTTTGAAGATTCTTTTTTCTCCTTTTCTGCGCTTATTTATAGAAAGAAAGGGCGAAACGAAGAACAGCAATAATATGAAAATAAATCCCCGCAGGGAAATATACGAATGTCAAACAAATAAGCGATTAACCTGAAAACAAACGCTGCACAAGTTAAGAAAGGGTGTATTCAAGAGTAAAATAATGCCCTAAAATGAGAAAAAGACTTACCAGGAGTGAATCCAGTCGACGATGGAACTGTTGTTTCGAATTGACGTTGAAAATTCGATGATTCACAATTTCCATTTTGACCAAAATCATACGTATCAGTGGCGCTCGTTCGTACTTTTCGTGTAAACGATGATGACGAATGAGTTTCACGATAGTGTCGTTCATAATCACTCTCGTTCTGTGTTGATGGTTGATCAAATACTTCAACATAAGATTTTACACGATACTTATCGGCTCCTACATCAGCTAAGCCAGTCGTAGAATTTCCATCGCGACCACCAAATGTATAGATGTTTGTTAAAGTAAAAACACTTCCGTTTTCACCAATAGACGGACCTAGATGTGACGTCGACGTTGATGTTGCTGCTGCTGTTGTGGCTGTTGATGACGACGAGTGTTCATTTATTTCTGATCGATTAGGACTTGTTGGAACCGATGAAACAGTCGTTTGACGAAACGTTGTGACGCCAGAGCCGGTACTTATTCCGGATGGCTGTTGTTGCATAATTTCGACTGGAATAGTTCTTTCACCTTGTCAAAATAAAAAACAAATCAGTAGAAAACAAGACATAAACTACAAGAATATGTAATCTGTATTATATAGAAATATCATAAAACAACCGTTCGAGTAACAGACACAAAGAAAATACATTATATTAATGTATGAGTTACTGTGCACGCATGGGAAATAATACAAAGTCGAGTCTGTTGGAAAACAGAAAAATAGGAATGGCACACAATCGAACTGACATCAACTATTACTCATAGTAGCTTATAGAAGAGGCCGAGACCTGCTCGTTCTTAATGCAATGCATCCTACTGCATCTTCCATTTTTTTTCTTCGTACTAGTCAACTAAATGACGCAGCTGCATGCCGTCGCCATCGACGCGACATACAGAAGAGCATGCATGGATGTTCGTATTGACTAGTGACACATCGTGCAACAGATGACATGGTTAAAAAGAAAAGAGCTTCCTTTCGCTCTTTTCTTTTTTTTTCTCTTCTCTTTCTTTTGGTTGTTCGCTTGTTAGGACAGGGTAAAAATTCGAGCAGCATCGTTCGCACACAAATATGCACACACATAGACAGTGTGAGAACAAAATCCAAATTTACTAACGACAATCTCACTCTCACATTCGTCTGTCTCACTGTCCTTGCGGTTTTTTTCTCTCGTCTATGTCATTGTGTGGTCGTGTACGCTAAATGATCATATACAGGGCTTGCAACTCCGATTATGACAATGACGGTACATAGTTGGCTGGGTACAACTACTACTATTCATATACATTGATTGATCTTATACGTTTAACATAAAACAATATCATGAGTGCATATATATATATATATGCTTGTATCCAATAGCGGCATAGAAGAAAAGAAAGAGAATGAAGTACAGAGGCTATATAATAATTTGTGAACTAAAGAACATTACTAGTTAGTATAGATAACCTCGCTGTCCTCTTCTTTCCTCTGTTTCGGTCAGTTGCATTAGTGGTGACCTGTATGCACGTTCGCATACACACATGACTTATGCCGCAGCTTAATCAACGACAGATTTGTGATCGGAGAAAAAACTAAATAAAAGTTGGATGACGAAGAGACCAATAGTGAATAAGAATGAAACACACATAGAACACAATGAATAAAGCAAAAAGAACAAAATGACAATGCAATTATATTGCTACTTACGAAGCCGGGAATGTGTTTCGTCCCATGAACGTAGTAAATCATTTGTACGTTGAACAGTATCAGTATCAAAACGCTGAGCCATACGTTTTAAATATGCAAGACGTTCGTTATATGTCTGAATACTTTCTAATTTCGTCTATTGGTAATGAATAGAAAAAAGAACAACATTAATTAATTCTTCGTTTATATTAATATGAATAAGAAAAAGAAAAAGAAAAGCGTTGTGTTATTTTTCGATACCTATTCGAAAACAATATTCAAAATAGTAACGAACTTGAATTCGATATAATCAAGGTCCCGCGTATACTCTTTATCAATCCACTGTGTTTATATATATATATATATATATATATATAAATGTATTGAGGTGAATGAAAATGCAAATAGCTTGTTATAACTGACGACTATGTATATGTGCACGTCTCATGAAAAAGCGGAGAAAATGTACGATTAGAGCGATGAGTAGAAAAAAAAAGTGTTTTGTAGTGGTGACTGCCTGCCTGCCTGCCTGACTGACTGACTGACGAGAAAAAAGTAAATGACAGGAACGAGAACAGAGGAGAATATAAAAAAATAACAAGAAAAAAACTACAATATTGTTATTTAAATATTTTTCGATTGATGCCTCGTTGGTCATTTTTTTATAATCAACAATAATAATGTTAATCGAACGAATAAATCCATTGATGAGGAAAACGATAGAACTATACATCATTCCTCTCGATTTGACAGATTGTTATATGTTTAATGTGTTTTTTTCTTATCTAGTTTTCTGCTATTTATAAGATATTATCATACTCTTGTTGCCGATTAGGCGACGATATCATCGCTCAATCATCCTTCAAATATCAGTTATCGAGATATACACATACGTTATATATGTCGTCCAAAAATTAACCATTAAAGAAACTATATTCACACCATTAAAGCTACACCAACAGAGAAAGAGAAAAAAAAGGGCAACACCTGCCAATTATCGACGAACTTATTGGTATATTATGTGTACGTACACATTTGATCTATGAACTATGATGTAACATCGATCATCTTTTAATTAATATTATTTTAGTTCGATTAATTATACCTGTAGTTCAGTAGTTGAATCCGACAGTGAGGTTGATTCGAGCCATCGTTGATACTCGGCACGTGCTTGAACTAATGCGTCAATTTCACTATTAAATTTTACTTGTTCGCTTTCGAGTTCGCATTTAAGAATTAGATTATGAAGTTCTTGCCATCGATTTTCTAATAATTTTAATGATGACTCATGTTCACTAGAATCTTCATTAGCTGGAGCAGAAGAAAAAAAGGATTCATTCCATCAAAAACGAAAACCCGCAACTAAATCAAATATTTACCATCTTTTAATTGTTTTGCTATAACATTGCCTGTTTGAACAAGCACTTTCAATTGATCATCGTATGATAAATATTTTGTTTTAACTTCCTAAGCAAACGGACAATGAAATGAATGCTAGCTGGCAGAGAAAAAGTGACAAGAATTTACCTGAATAATTTCTTCTCGTTCATTAGGCTTTAACGGGTTTAACAGTTTTTCTTTTAATATTCTTTCGATGTTTTCAATCCAATCGATATATTTTCTAGCAGATAGATCAAAGTCAGATTTTAGGGCATTTTCACTATGCTTTCTTGTTTTCTTATTTGTTGAATCGTCGGAATTATCAGTCATAGTTTCCGTTTGTTCAACTGTTGTTGTTGTTGTTGAGGTTATCGTTTTCTGTGTGGGATGATTATTTGTCTTTACATTTGTGTGCACATGTTTTTCAACGCTCGAACTCACTTTCTTTAGCTAAGTTTGAAAAAGAAAAGGAAATTTCTTTTTTTTTAAGAAGAAACGGAAGAAAAAGATTTCTAAAATTTACTCGTGCCGAACATTCTTCAAGGTCATTGATAAGTTGTGACCAACGCTTTTCAAAAGTATTTATTTGTTCATTTAAAGTTTTTAATTCATTCGATGATGTACTATCATAAAATGTACTTAGAATCTTCAAACTGTTGTCCAATGAAAGAATTGATTGGCGTATGTCGTTCATTTCAGATTCCGTTTTCTATAGATTAAAAAGCATTTTTGAGTATGTTCTTATGACACAAAAAGAAAGCAATTATCGAAGCATTATCTATATTGAAAGCGAACATTTCTATTCTAGTAATGGACTTAAAATAAGTATGATTGTTCCTTTTTTTAGGAAAACTTGTTCTTGTTTTAGGACACAAAAAATCAGAGTGAAACTATAGGTCATTTTAGTTTTTGTTAGATTTAAAAAAAAAACATCTTTTTGACTGTAACCATCTCTCTTTCCTTTTGGTAATATTTCTTAACGCATCATTGTATTCGCTCATGGCCAAACCGTACAGAAGAAAACAATTTCTTATTACGGGAAGTTTTTACGCTACTAGAAACAGTCATAGTGAATAGAAAGCACATGAATGATTTGCATTTATCGTGTTGTTCACGTAGCATTGATTCTATTTAGTAAAAGATACTATCGATTTTGTTCAAGGATACGTGAAATTAAATCCGAAAAATTCAAGAAGAAATTTATTTGAATTTTAAAATACTCAATTAAATATTCGAAATGGGATGTTTTTTGGTTTCTTACCCTCAACGTCAATGTTCTGTTAGAAATTAAAATAAATTTTCTATTGAAAAGATAAAAATTTGCTAAACGTGATCTTTTTCATTTTTATGATTGATGAATTGATCATTTGAATACATAAAAAGGTCATCAGTATATTTGTTAATGTGAAAATCATTTGATTGAAAATGTTTATCGTTAGATAAATAGTCAAAACTTTACACTGTTTAAAGTCGAATTAGTAAGATCTTTTCTTTTTTTTTTTATTACCTGAATCGAACGGACTTGTTGTAAAAGTATTTCAGTATCGGTAGTATTTGTTTCGGTTTTAATTTTACCCATTTCTTCTTCTTTACTTGTTAACCATTCATCAGCTTTTATTCGATTTAACTCAATTTGTTCGAATTCAATTTTAACTTCTTGCAATTGTTGCCAACGATTATGTACAAAATTACATATATTTGCCCAACGCTCACTTAAACTTAATAATTTAGTTTCGATTTCGGATGCAGTATATTTCGATGGCGAATTTTCTTCATCTGACACGGAATCATCGATAATAATGATCATATTTTGTAATGATTCAGTAATAGCCTGTTGAGAAAAAAGTTCATCTTGTAATTGAGCTAATTGTTGATGTTGCCGTTCAATGTCCGATAGATTCGGTTCGACTAAATCTAAATCTGTTGATATACGCTGTTCAGTTTGAAATAGCCAAGCGTCGAATGATTCGATTTGATCAATTTGAAGTTTCATTAATGCTTTATGAAGGCTAAAATTGCGGAAAACAGAAAATTTTGAACTTTATGATTTCAAACAAATCTGACCTTATAATAAAGTCTTACTAGAGAACAGAAACAATTGTCGGATATTGTTCGGCTTCATATTATGAATAAGAGCATTAGTGAGCCTTAGGAAATCCTACAAATATCTTTCGAGTTCATGGCCGACTTATGATATGTGAAACTTCCTCACCGATAGATTTGATAATTGTAAAACTTCGAATAAAAATGAACATGATTTTCTCGAGATATACAATGTCTGCGTCATGTATTCGCTGTTTTCATTTAGAACATAGAATTTCTCGAGAAAATCATGTTTATGTTCATTCAACATTTTGAACTTTACTTCGTTAAATCTACCGATAAACAATGTTTCAATTGAAAGAACCTTTGATCTAGGTTTTGCTTTAAAGATACATCGATCTCAGTAAAGGTATGATGATAACTCTTTCCTCCGTAAGCCATAATGAAAAATCCAATAATACGCTTATTTGACTCATTCGGACTGATAGTCCTAATGTAAAGCAGAATAGTGGACGACAGCTGGATATTTTCCCTCGTTAACATGACATATTATGACAGATAAAGAAATGGAAAAGAAAAGAAATCTGTTGTTTACATTTTTGTCCAAGGATAGGACAATGCCTTTATGAGAAAAGCTTCTTGGATAGCCTTTTCTCATATTGATGTTTTCTTTTCGCTCGGATATATTACATAGTGCTCTTAAAGAAACTTCTGCATCTGTTTATCAATCTTCTAAGATTTCTACGAAAACTCAGTGTCATATAGGAGTTACTAGAAAATAATTCTACAAAGTTCATACGATACTTTTCTTTTCTGTATATCTGAATAAATATGTGTATTTCGAGGGTGTAGAGTTGTAAATATTTAAGAAATATAGAAACTGAAAGATTAGGCGTAATTCTTTTTTAAGATACTTATACGTTCGTTCAAATGTAGGCACGAGTTAATCTTCGATTTTAAGATGACGTACTCTTATGTAGATTCTGGAGGACGAAAAATGCAATTACTCAGTTAAATTTCTAAATACTATGATATCCTATCTAAAGTAAACTCATACATATCTCGTGAAACTCCCCCTTCCCTCTCCCCAATATTTCTTATACATAATATTATTAAAGGCGACTAAAATAACAATTGTGTTTGACAAACGAAAACTGCAATAGGATAGGTAATTTCTTGGTCGAACAACATGTTTTTTCTTCTCAATTATTTGACGAATCAAATGAAACCTATTTGGAATATGGTAAGAAAATATGCTGTTGTCGTACTACATCGACTTCAAAACTAATTTATATGATCGCAAGAGTATTTCCATTTTGATCAAAAAAATATATATAAACAATATCTTACATGTATTGTTTATCAAGGGATTTCGAACGTAACAATTCCCATCGATGGTTAAGCATTTTCATTTGTTCTTTTATCTCATTTTCTAGCTGTGGATGTAGATGAACTTTTTTGGATGTTAATAATTTATTTCCTTCTACAAGTACATCACCGATTTGATTTTGATCTTTAGTTAAACTGATCATAAACGCCTTTAGATACATTTAAAAAAACAGCAACAATAATAATAATAATAAGAAGAAGAAGCCAAAATTTTTCTTTTTTACCTCATGATTTTGAAATCGTTGTTTAATAGCTTTTAAATCATCTGATAAAGTTGTATCTTGTTTATCAAGCTCATTTTCAAGTTTAAGAATCCACTGAAGTATTCTTTCCATATTAGCTTGATATTGTTGCAATTGAGTTGAATCCGTTTTTGTTTGAGACTGAAAAAGATTTGCCTTATCGAAAACAAGAAATTCCTTTTGTTTATATCGCAAACCTTCGTCTCTGTTGTTTTATCATTTGTTATCGTCGTCGTCGTAGTTGTCGTTGAGGGGTCACTTCTCTCATTATCTTCGATAACAATATTACTAGTTGGTAACTGTTGAAAGAGACACATGACATACATTAAAATAGATTTTCTATCCGGATAATCGGAGAGAACATCTAAAGGAGGAATGCGTAAATTAAAAAATTTGACATATAATAATTACTCAAACCTTCAACGTCAAGATATCGATCAATTTTGAAAACATTTTTTGCGACACTGAATGCATGTTCAAGATTTCTAGCGGAAGCATTTTGTAAAATGTCTTCATAATTAAATAGATCTGGCCGATATCTATGGATCAACGCATTAAAAGCAAGACCATCTTGCCAGCTGCGTGTAAAATCATTAATCGCTACACCTTTGTATCTAATTTTTGAAATGGAATCCAAAATTTATTTTGAAAAATTTTAATAAACTCTTTCTGTGTTACCCTTTTGTTTGTTCTTGACACCATGAAAGTAGAAATTTCTCAATGTTAGTCTGCTGGGAATCAGGTACAACGGATTCAATAACATCTTTTCCTTGCCAATATTGAATTATGGACCATATCAATGCAAGTGTTAATTTTGGATTACCATCAACAATATCATTTGACGATATACTAAGAAGTTTGATCTATAATTAACATAAAATCAAAAATCATAATTCTGTATAATTTTGATAATCCTGATTTTCTTACTCCATGTTCATTGAGTACAGCTATAACTTTATTCACATTACCAATATGATGTACACGCATTTTACCATTTTCTCTTTTCTATAGAATTAAAAAAACAATAAAATACAAACTAATTCTGATGTTTGTCTTTCATTACATACACATTCATTTCCAGTAAATACTTCCAATAATCGAAGTAGAACAACTCCATCGCGTAAATCTTGAAATAAATCTGTAATAGTGAGTGTTGGAGTTGTCTTAAAATATAAATATAATAAAAAAAATCAATAATTTATTGCATAATAATAGATTCGCTACTTACATTCGCTAATTGATTATTGATCCATTTAGTGAATGCCTTCTTTTGGATATCCTCACGTTCGTCTATAAAATAACGTCGAACGGTAACCATCAATAATAGGAAAAAAATGACGCATAGCAAAAGAAAAGCTATGACTGTACTTCGATGAGATCAAATATAAAAAACAACGATAAGATGTACTGTTGGGAGGTCACCACTGACCTATCTACTTTAATTTGACAAAGTTCATTAGTTTTTATTCTTCTCTTTTCATATATATTCATGCGATAGAAAGATACGCGATGATTTAATATGCGCGTTTAATGTCTTCAATGAATGAACGAATTTTTTTAACGTAAATATCGTCTACATTTAAAATAGATGCATGACTACATTGACCGACAACTTATCAAGATTGTTAACATTAACTGATCAGCCAATGATAACCACAAAAAAAAATGTGCAACTCATCCATCAAAGACCACCATGCATGTATAGCATGCATTTCGAAAAGAAAACGATTAAATGTCGCCTATTTAGCACATAATCAGATTATATTAGGAAAGAAAACAATATCATTTCTTCGTGTATGTTTCCCGCTTAGAAAAACATATGATTAATGAACACATGCAAATCGATCAACAGTAGTATTTATTATTACACAAAATATGTGTGCGTTAATTTACATTTGAATCAAGTGCAAGACGATACAAAGTACTAACAGATAAGATATTGCCTTGCCTATCTAACATTTTTCTCCTATCAAAATGGTAACAGCAGGACCCATGAAAGTAAAAGCCAAGAATTCATACATATTAAATATACCGACTTTTACATCCACGCTTATATAATATTCTTCAAACAACAAGAGCAAAGGGAAATTCTGTAGCATGAATTTTCGTCTCTATTCAAATAAGAGCCGTAGGCAACTTATCAAAACTCTTTTTCCTCTTCAATTAAACGTTTGTTGATTTTCGTCACACATACTTTTCTCAAGTAGATGCTATACGATAGTAATTCTCGCTATGGGCACAATCGTATGCACATAAACATACGTTTTTTTTTCAACATAACATTAAGAATCTATTCAACTATATACTATTGATCCTATGAAGAGATATATTGATTGGTCAATAAAGATAAGAGTATTTCTTTAAGCTATATTATCTTTTATTATATACGCATAATAAATGTGTAGTTTATTTTCTTTCATTCATATCGTTTTTAGATAATACTTGGTAAACTGAAACTTTATTAAAAAACTTACATGTAAGGTCTTCATCAATCGAACCTAATGGTTCATCAGTGATTGATGCTGACATTGGTGATCGTATTATACACTTTTTTTTGTATCGTTCGATGAGGATTATTGCGAAGGTCAAGTGTTCGAAAAGTTTTAGTTAATGCAAGATACTGACTGTCCGCCCACTTTCCTTCGTTCCAAAATATAAAGAGGTTGGCGACGACGACGACGATAATAATAATAATAATGACGGAGATAGGATAGCGATATAACTCTTTGGCTGCTGGTCGCTTATCTCTAATACCACAAAGAAGACACTGCTTCTTTTTCTTTTTCTTCTTTCTCTGTTCTTCTGTTTTCTTTCGTTATGTGCATTTTAGCGCAGGGAGGAATGCAAAGATCTCACCCGTCCTAATGCAATATTTGTGCTTCTGTCCGTCTCGACGCATATTCCAATAGCATCTATCTGTATCTTTTCATCACTCTATTCTCTCGTTTACGCTTGCTTGAACTATTCGTGTATACTAAAGTAAGAACATCATTTTCCGTTCAGTTATCAAATACGATGATACTCGTATACTATTATCATACGTGAGAAACTCAATAAATAAAGCTATGAGCAGAAGCAAAACAGAAATGTACGGCAATGAACACAATGATAGCATGGCAAAAGGAACTGTCCTTAGTCGACTCAAGGTTACTATGAGACTAATTACAACGTTTATCATCGAACAGCATATATATATATATATATATATTTGCAAACTATCAGAGTAAACGTAGACAGAAGAAATTAGTATCTCTTCTCTTTGAAAAGGAAAAAAATAAGCTTACATTTTCGATCACGTATAATCTGTTGAAATTGCTGTGCATCATCTTCATTGGAATTGCCCGTCATTGTATTAACTATCTCTGGAGAAGAATTGCGTTGTGAAGGACTAATCGACATTATGATTATCAAGTTTAAAAAACAAAATTATTCTGCTGTATGATTATATATATATATATATATACAAGCGTTTAATATGAGTCATTGCATGAATTGTAAAATGATTGTGTTGTTGTTGTTGTTGCCGGTTCTCTTTATGCTACACCTGTAATATAGAAGAGAAATAGTTTCGTGAGTATTATTCACAAATTGGAGGAGGCAATGAATAGAACAAAATGTCGAATAAATAAATAGTGAGAAACATAAATTTAACTGAATCAGAAAAAAAACCGCCGAGAACTGTTCATTTGTACTTCAAATGAAAGTTAAATATTAATTTATACGAATGTTGACATTTCTGTATAGATTTCTCTACGTTGGTTTAAAAAACGTACTAAGCATTTTTATGTCTATCTTTTACTCCATCAATATAAATATTCAAATGCTGCGAGAATAACGAGAAAAAAAACATGATATATGAAGAATAATTGAGATAAGAATGAATTATTATTGTATTGTCTTAAATAAATAGCCAACTGGTTAATATCGATTAAAGAATAGCAGAGAAAAATATGTTAAGAATTTCAAACTAATCTACTCAATACAAGTATTGTAACAAATATTTTGCTATTGACAAGCTCTCGTCTTTTTGTTTTGAAATTCATATCTTTAATCGTATTCTTAACAAATGCAAATGATTTTATCTTTGATCTTTTTTTAGCGTGAACAGAAAATGCTTTTCTTTTCAATGTTGAAACATGTCACACCATATGGAGTCGTATGTTAATTTCACAAGCCTACAACAATATCAATAATTGAAAACTACTATTGGTCCGATGATCATTATCGATAGTTGTATGTCAGTATATCTCTCTCTCTCTCTGTCTGTCTCTCTCTTTATGCTGTTCGTGTTTCGCATGCACAATCTATCTTTCTTGCGCCTGTATAACCATACAATTGGTATTTGCGATCAAGCGTTAAGCTTTTTTTTCAAACACGCACACCTATCCTTCTATATTCTCATCTTCATTTGCGTAACCGTTTGACCAAATGACTCAAATTGTACATAGAAGTTCTTGAACTACGAATAACAACATGACTAAAAATCACTAACAATAGGCGATAAAAGAAAAAAAACGAAGAAGATTGAATAGTGCATCAATGACGCAACAATATGTATAAGTGCAAATTGCAGCTTCGTAATCTCTCTTGAGGGTGGACGCGCTCATTCGCGCACACATGAAAATTTTTTCCTTTTCATTTTTTTGTTCAATATTTTCATTTACTGCCTTCAGGCAATACACAGGCTAGATGTATGGTGTCTCGTGTTATTCAAGAGGCTATCGAGCGAGATAGTGCTAATAAGAGGTAGAAGTGAGAATGTATTAAATAAAATAAAAAAAAGTGAAATATCTTCTATACGCCAACAATTTTTCAGCGAAATGTGAGACGAGGTGGAGTGGGCGGAACTTTATACGAAATGAAATATGATCGTCAAAAACGAATACGAAAAGAAAGAACTTAAGTATCGATCTATATTATTAAAACTTTGTAAATAGGCATAAAGAATGTTTGCTAATGAGTACTCCAAAAGAAACTTTCTAAACAAACTACAAGATAAAATATCCTTGATAATTGAGGCTGAATATGTCATTGTTATGAGCAGAAGAAAATTAAAGGTTATATGCACAGGTTTTTCAACAGATGACAAGTTATTGTTGATTTCCCTTGAAAATAACAATTGATGAAAACGTAGTCAAACAATCAAAAACGTATGAAAAGAGAAAAAAATATGTCCATTGCAGACACCTGTTGCCACGTTCCCATTTTTTGCCGTGGGTTTTCAGATAAACTTATCTCCTATTCGATACACTTTATGAAATAATAATTGAAATTATAAGAATCAAGGAAAATAAAATAAAAACAATAATTTTTCAACCTACCTATTATAACGTGTACATATATGTGTGTATGTATGTATATACGTCTAGATGATGAATGCAAACAATGATCCGGACTTTTTTTACGCTATTCTGTCAGGCAAACACGTGTGTCGTGCTCTCTTCTCTCGTTTTTTTTATGGAGAAGGACAAGAAGAAAAAAGACGGAATGAAACTGCAATGTTGCCGCTGCCGTCAAACTCACTTTAGAATTAACTGAAAACTTTCTCTCTGTGTTTCTTTCCTCGTTCTTTTCCTGTTCCTTCGTTCTTCTTTGTTCTGTTTTTTGGCATTTTCATCTGCTCATTCACTTATTTCTTCCTTCTTGTTGGCTGTTCGAGGGTCTCACATATATTACAATATAGTAAAAAAAGAAATAGAAGGGATCAAAGTTTGAGGTAGCCGCCTCGTCTTTCTATATGTCTCATTCATTCGTAAGCTAAACTTTGAACGCGACATGTAGTGATACAAATCACGGTCGACAAACGAAAAGATGATGTTCGTTAACACTAGTGTATGCATAGAAGATGACAATTAAATAGGGCTCAATCTCAATCTGTCTATCGTACCTTTCTCGTCGTATTATCATCGTTGAGACAGCCACAACGCTTGCCTATAATGATACATGAAAAGCAATCAAGTTGAGCCATGTGATCACAGGTCAAATATCTTGTTATGAGTCTTCTATATCTGGTCGATGAGGAAGTTAGCTCACGGCTATGTTTCTTTTTCTTTTTTTATTCTTTTGTGTTAAGATAATATAATTATCAATCTAAATCAGAACTCATTGACAGATTTATCGAAGCGATTCTATCAAAAAAAGGCATGTCCGATTGCTGAGGAAACAAAAGATAAACGAGTTATCGAAGTTTTCTCTTTGTGTCTGTTCAATATTATATGAGCTTTGATCAGGGCTCAATGCAAATAAGTGAAAAACTTCAATGCATGCTTTTAAAAGGGTCACTTGACTTCTTTTTAAAACAACACGTTGAAGTCTCTCTAACAATAACTTTCAAAATTCAGTAGACTTATTTCAGAATGAGACAAATTTCAATTCGTTCAAGGATTTCTATTCAGTTATATATACTTTTAAAATACTAAATATGTTCAAGGGCAGATGCATAAATCAATAACGAATGAAATCAAACTGGCCAAGAGTAAATATAAATCGAAATACTTGTTAGACCGATATATATATATATATATATATATATTTACATACAGTTTGAATTGATCAGTACTAATATTAAGTAATTAAAAATATTTTATTTCTTCTTTAACTTAAGTTTTGAATATTTCCGTTATTAGTTTTCTATTGAATTATTCAAGTTCCATGACATTTAACATGAATCGTATACTTTTGTTCAAAAATTTCTGCATATTTTACTTAGAACACTGTTATTTCTTTTTATCGAAACCTTTATTGCCTTAAAATTTCATTTACATTTAAGATTCACTATAAATAGTAGCTGTATAAAACAAGATCATCATGAAAATTTCACTTCACTTTTTATCGTTGTTCGAGCATAATGTCAACTATTGAAGTTATAGTGCAATAACATTTACGGATCATTGATAAATAATTATTGATAAAAATCTACATTTATTAAATCGTAACTCATGTAAATTGCTTGCCAATGTCAAAAGGAGAACGAGAAAAAAATAAGCTGCTTTTTACATAAGGAAAGAAAAATATTAGAAAATTATTATTGCCAGATGGCTTCATGCAAGATCATTTACAATGACAGGTAAATGCACAATTATAGAATACAGTACGTTTCAAAAATAAATTTTTTCTCAATGTTTCTTTCAAACATGAAAATAATTGATCATAAATGCTTACCGTACATATGAACTATAACCTATCAGACCTGTGAATGTTCGATTTTATAAGCTTACAGAGCAATTACATTAGAGATAGTGTTAGCGTAGAACAAAACTAGCATTTATAATACTGTCTCTATGATTATATCTTTATCGATCAATACTATTATTCTAGAGCTTCGCTCTCAATCTGACAACAGCCGAATGCTTCATTTGGTTTATCACATTCAACAATCAATTCTGTTTATGGTTGTTGAGCAAGAAAACTAACATTTTCATCATAAAATATGATTAATGACCATCCGACAATAGCACATTCATGACTTCCAATGGTTACATAGCCCTATATAACAATGGTAGGCATTATAGTGGTTTCCACACAGAATCCTATGAAAATATATTATTAATAGAGTTCGGTGCGTTAATAGCTTTACAAAAAGTTCCATTTGAATTGATTAAGGCGTGCAAACATTTTCATCTTATATAAACATGTGCTTACGATTTCGTTATGTTTCAAATTATTAATATTAATTCATCCCGATAATTAGCTTTCATCAAGAATTATCTTAAGCGATATAGCAGCAATAAAACTGACATGAAGCTTATTGTTTCTCTGTATTGTTTACACTAAACTAGAAAGCTATTACGTACTCTCAATGAATTTGCCATTAGCTGTCTGATGATCGAAAAATAATTCAACATCAAATTTTATTGTAATGTTCTTTTATATATGAAACATATGCCCAGTTAGGATATAATGAATAGTTCTACATAGTAAACAAAACGGGTGATGATCGATTGATAATTTGAACTCGAAAAGTTTTAATTATTATTATATTTGAATTTCTTATCACTGATCAAATATCAATTAGACGATGAAATTAATAGTTTTCAGAAGGAAAACTTTCTGCTATTATAGTTGTTTAGTATAGAAAAAAAAATATCTATTTTTTAGTGAACTTATTTCTTTACTAGTCAATAAAATGACATTTGAAAAACTACGATTCTGCAAAAAGAAAATATGAGAATCAAAACAATTATTTATTTATTTTATCTATTGTTGTTTTCGATGAGGAATGTGGTAGAACACCCGTTTATTGATATATCTTGACCTTTTCTTTTCTAATTGAGTTTTAATGGTAGCATTTCTGGCATTTTTTTCTCGCTGATATAAATAATTATTCTAGTTATATCACTATTGTATAATGAAAAGGTTCAACGACAACAACGCATGCATTAATTTATATATATATATAG